TTTTTCAGTTTTAAAGTTTTCCAGTTGTTTACAAACTCGCGAAAATGGGCCGAACATTCGTGCTTTGCTTTATCGTCGTGTTGCTGACGTTACAGTCTTTACGGTAACAACTCTCTTTGCCTTAATATTTTCATCCCCTTTAAGCTCCTTCCATTTACTTCCTTTAACGTAATCCCGTTTTCTATTTAAACTGTAAGTATAGTGTTCTAAATTTTTAATAATAACTCGCTCATATTCGTTCTCATTTGTTACTCAGAATACTCCCAAGCAGTGTTCACATTCAAACACCATAGTATCCAGGTAATCAAAATTCTTCTTACATAAAATTACAAGCTATTGAGACACAAGGCCAATCAGTCATATGAAATACAGGAAGTATATCTGGGCGTCTCCAACTTGTTCTTCCCTTCAGTAGTCCATGTGGAATGTGACGCGTTTTGACGACTTGACTTTTACTTCTGATTAATATGATTTTCTTGTTTCAGTTTTACATAGCCGTGTCAGGCGGTCGTGGGAAAGACTGGAATTTCGGCTCCGCATTCGTGACCGGAGATAAACCATTCATAACCACGATATGACGCCATCATCCCTAATCCCTAATATACGCATTTCATTTCTAACGGATTTCGTATAGTAAGATGCTACTTGATATTCTTTAATACAATTCTTTGAAAAGGCAGTCAGGTGTCGGGTCAATCGCCGGTAAAGCTGTCGTTAGGGTATCTAAATATCACCAGTAGTTGTTATTGTCTACACTAGCAAGTGCATCTATGTAACCAACAAGACGATGTATGGAACGTTTCTAAAACATGCCCAAAGCAAGAGTCATGTCGCACTTAACATAAATATATAGGCCTGCGGGTAATACCAGATATCGACAGCCAATAGGTCCGTATGTATGAAAGTTTATTGGAAGTTACAAAGTGCACAAATTCGTTATTATTCCCTAGGGCGACGCAAGTCCTATCGTACACATACGCTATCGCTCATCCCAATTTCTACAGCGTTCAATACTGAATGTACATTATTGTGCTCACAAACAGTTTCTGGCTTCAATGTTGAATAATTAACTACAGTTTGCGACACAGTCTCCTGTCAACGGCAAACCAAGTTGAATTCTATCCAGGCAACTTGCATAATGTTAACGCTCTAAGATGTTTCATATAAGCTTTAATCTGCACCCGTAACAAGAGGCCCAATGGATCTGCAACCCTGACCTGGTATTGAATGTACATGAAAAATTGAATCGGTTATAATATCACAAATATTTTGACATATGTACCACTGGCATTAAAAGTGGGCACAAAAAATCAATTTTAACAAATTTCCACGATAAACAGTGTATAATACATTGTACTTAACTCTAATCAGTGACTGTTATGACTTGGATCTTAGGTAAATGCGATTTCCTTGTTTTTTGGGGTCCCCCCAATATAGGTCAAGGTCATTTCTTTTCGCAAACGTTGTCAGACGTAATCCAAATAATCTATTAGCCAAATACAACGTACAATGCTTTAAAGCCTTTTTGTTAGCCAGAAGAAATTGTTTCAAGGTTTTAACAAAATCAACCCCTGTGACTTTGAAGATGGATCAATTGAGTTAGTCAGAGGTCGTCTTAAGGTTTCAGCAAATTCGACCCCTATGACCTTGTCCTAGCAACCCACCAGCTAAATACCTTGACATTTGCTAGACAGACGACAGACGTCGCACCACATCATAAGCTCACTTGGCCCATCAGGCCAAGTCAGCTAAAAATCTGTGATATGAATGAAATAAAACTAATTGTCACCAAGTAAAGAACTCTTATTTACGAAATCCTATAGAATGATATGCTTTGCAACTTCAATAGAAACATTTGAAATCTATTTCAAAGTCCTAGATGATGACAAGTTCACTATTATCTAATCCTAGCTGGCTCTGTGTTCTCACACAATGTAGAACAGCAGAGGTCTTCAAACACATATTTATTTTCTAACAGTGGGTAGGAAAAAGACATTTTCATAAACATGAAATAATTTTATTTAAAGATGATATGCAACATGTTTAATTCCAATTGTTTCTGTAATCAAACAGTTCATTATAAACTGATCTCAAACTGTATGCAGTAGTATCCTGCATATAAATCAGAGAATTATAAATAGATCTCACACTGTATACAGTAGTATCCTGTATATAGATCAGAGAATTATAAATAGATCTCACACTGACTGTATACAGTAGTATCCTGTATATAGATCAGAGAATTATAAATAGATCTCACACTGACTGTATACAGTAGTATCCTGTATATAGATCAGAGAATTATAAATAGATCTCACACTGACTGTATACAGTAGTATCCTGTATATAGATCTGAGAATTATAAATAGATCTCACACTGACTAGATCTGAGAATTATAAATAGATCTCACACTGACTGTATACAGTAGTATCCTGTATATAGATCTGAGAATTATAAATAGATCTCACACTGTATACAGTAGTATCCTGTATATAGATCTGAGAATTATAAACACATCTCACACTGTATACAGTAGTATCCTGTATATAGATCAGAGAATTATAAATAGATCTCACACTGACTGTATACAGTAGTATCCTGTATATAGATCAGAGAATTATAAATAGATCTCACACTGACTGTATACAGTAGTATCCTGTATATAGATCAGAGAATTCTAAATAGATCTCACACTGACTGTATACAGTAGTATCCTGTATATAGATCAGAGAATTATAAATAGATCTCACACTGTATACAGTAGTATCCTGTATATAAATCAGAGAATTATAAATACATCTCACACTGTATACAGTAGTATCCTGTATATAGATCTGAGAATTATAAATAGATCTCACACTGTATACAGAAATATCCTGTATATAAATCAGAGAATTATAAATAGATCTCACACTGTATACAGTAGTATCCTGTATATAGATCAGAGAAATATAAATAGATCTCACACTGACTGTATACAGTAGTATCCTGTATATAGATCAGATAATTATAAATAGATCTCACACTGTATACACAGATATCCTGTATATAAATCAGAGAATTATAAATAGATCTCAAACTGTATACAGTAGTATCCTGTATATAAATCAGAGAATTATAAATAGATCTCAAACTGTATACAGTAGTATCCTGTATATAAATCAGAGAATTATAAATAGATCTCAAACTGTATACAGTAGTATCCTGTATATAGATCAGAGAATTATAAATAGATCTCACACTGACTGTATACAGTAGTATCCTGTATATAAATCTGAGAATTATAAATAGATCTCAAACTGTATACAGTAGTATCCTGTATATAAATCAGAGAATTATAAATAGATCTCAAACTGTATACAGTAGTATCCTGTATATAAATCAGAGAATTATAAATAAATAGTTTAATAAATCAGACAATCCCATCATAAAACAAAACTGACTTAAATTGATTATGCATTCTAACTTGACCATCTTATATAGAATTTGATCTTGTTTAAAATATAAGTTTTGGTATATTAATTGTGCCATATCAGTTTAGCACATTTCAATACACACTTCAGAAGAAGTTTAGCACCCTATATGAGTTAATACAAATACTAATAATGTTTTTGAAACCAACTTGTCTTATGCTTTTTGCAAATCTATTTGGAACACAACTATTGAATGACACATGACAACAATAAAAACAAATAGTGTCCTATTGGAATGCAGTTTTTAACTGTTACCAGTATGATATGAACTCTATATTTTCTAAAAATTATACTAATCCAATTGCACACAGTGAGTAGTAGTATAATATATTACATCATCTACCTCTTTTCCAATGAATTAACATTTTTGCTTATTTGTCACTATGTCTGCAGTCAGAAATTAATTGTGACGAGACAATACTGACAATGATACCATGTCATGAATTGAAAATACACCACAAAATGATTGCCTCAATTTGAGTTTGACCTCCACATTTTTACTTTAAAACCTATCAAAATTGAATTTTTGTGTGTTATTTGATAAAAAGTATGTTAAATTTGTTTTCATTTCATATGAGGTTTTATAAAAACTTGTCCTGAATTTTTTCTTTTTTGTGAGCCTTTTGCACAAATAAAAAACTTCTAAGACAAGTTTTATAAAATCTCACATGATTTGAAAACTCATTTAAGGTCCTATATCCGTCTATAGGTATAATACACTGTACAAGCAATCCCATAAAACATTGTTTCTCTTCAGTCTTTTCTGTTCTTGCTCTTCATTGTATCAAATTTATAAATGGTGCTAAGGAACAGTGATAATAATCTTCATGAAACTGAAGATAGCCAAACAGGCACAAGGAATAAAGGGGAACCTATATGTAAAATTTGACAGAGATCAGGTTCAGTATTTCTGACAAAATAGTCATACGAAACTTTCATTTCCAAAATACAGATCAGAATCAAAAGCGCACAACTAAGGACCAAAGGGAACCTAAGAAATATGATATATATATATTCAGTGCTTCCCAAGAAATAGAAATAACAATGTGTACGACCATGATGCCATCTGAAATATAAGACTGATCCTTCCAGTTCTCAAGAAATAACAATACAATGTATATCTGCATTATTTTTTCTTAGATAAGATCGAAAAAAAAAATGGCCATTGCATTACAAGGAACCAAAAGGAACTTACATATGAAATTTGAGAATTATCCATCAAGTACTTCCCAAGAATTAGCAATAACAAACTGATCCTGTCAAAATTCAAGATGGCCAACTGTACTCCATCTTGGGTTTTTTGCATATCAGATCCAAACTGGGGCAATGTACAACAACGGACCAAAGGGAAAACCTACACATAAAATTTGAAAATGATCCATCCTTAACATCTCAACTAACAGTGGCAACAAGAACAGTTTAAGGCAAGACAGACAGACACTTGATGTAAGCGATCTGATCAGCTGACCATCTGATGGTGGTACTGAATGTTTGAAAATTAGAAATAACAAAATACAACTGAAAGATAATTCTTCTTATATATTAACAAACAGTACAATATACAATTGTAAATAATCTATGATAATCCGAATATAAGTATCAATCACAACAGTCTGCAGAGTGGTTGGTAGACGGCATTAAATAAATACAAGGAACAACCACTCTGAAGACTGTGGTGATTGATACTTAGATTCGGATTTTCTCTCTTGCTCAATCACCCTGCATACCTGAGGTATCCAGCTGGGGAGTGGAGGAACCTACAAACCACCCAACTTGAATGAACGGCGTTGGCTCTATCACCTGAGCTAATCTATGATAATTAACTAATCTTAACTGTTAGGACAAATGTCTGAGTATCAGAATCAACAACCATTTCCACTCTTCTGTTCTGATTTTATCCATATAAATCCACATCAAATTGACAGGTTGTGTTCAAGACAAATATGGAAAATATGGCTCAAAAAATAAAAATCTAGTTAATGATGGATTTGAAAGACAGGTACAGTATATCACATGCAACTGACAGTATTTAAAGGTAGAGCACACCAATAACTCAATAATAATACAACACCATTGTCTTAATCCTATATTGTGTGCCAAACACAAGTAAAATCCAGTAACCTTTGTCAACATATTCACAAGATGTGGTGCAGTAAATAAAATTTCCACAAGAGGTGGCGCAGTATATAAACTTGTTCATGGGAAGTGGCATAGTATATCATCCTGTTCACACAAAGTGGTGTAGTCAATAAACCTGTTCACAAGAAATATTGCAGTATACAAACTTGTTCATGAGAAGTTGCGTAGTATAAGTATATAATCCTGTTCCTGGGAAGAGGCATAATATATCATCCTGTTCACAGAAAGTAATGTAGTATATAAACCTGTTCACAAGAACTAACATCATATAACCCTGTTCACAAGAACCAACATATTATACAAACCTGTTCACAAGAAAGTGGATAGTATATAAACCTGTTCACAAGAACTACCATATTATGTAAACCTGTTCACAAGAAGTGGCTTAATACACAAACCTGTTCACAAGAATGTAGGTAGTATATAAACCTGTTCACAAGAACTAACATATTATGTAAACCTGTTCACAAGAAGTGGCTTAATATACAAATCTGTTCACAAGAACTTTGGTAGAATATAAACTTGTTGATCTGGAATGTAAAATTTTATTTTACAGGCTTTGGCTTAAATATTATGCTTTACTTTATATTTTGATAACCACACCTGTAAACAATTATTGTACCATTAAAAGCTAAGAATATGGTGATATCATGGCATAAAGTTATAGCAGGATATACAGCCATATGTACCCTAAAAACCCTAGTGTATATATCATACAATTATGACAAATACAAAACATTTAAAATAATAAAATATTATTGACGCAAACATATATATATACTAACACAAAAATAAAAAGTAAAAACATGGCATTGTAAGCAATACAAATTCTCTTGCAGTTCCACCTCAACTTAAGCCCAATAAAGATGTGTAATCAAAATCCCTCAAGAAATGGAGCTGCTAGAGCATTGACGAACATTTCCTCAAAGTCGCAACAGTGACTTCAACCTTAACTCTACAACACTAGAACTCAAAAACAACTACTAACCCTATATATGCATCCCTATATCCTCACCCAGCATTTGTCATGAAAGAATGATAAAATATACATCTTCCAAATACACAAAACGATACAAAAATAAATTGTATCATACTAAATCTTTCCATTATTAATCAAATACAAAATAACCAATGTAAACAAAGTTTAGTGTGGAAACGATGACTGAAACCATCATACAATGTTAATATCATGAGGTAACTTATGGAAGGTCAAAACCATACCAGATCTAACATTCGAGTGCTACTACTTAAATACAATACTGCAGGTCTTGTCAGTTGCTAACAAGAAACTTTGGAAGCTCAACAGGCATCAGAAAACTGTATTTGTGTAACTATATCATACATGGATCCTTCCATAATCATATTATCTATAATAGCTATAGAATTAGAAGTATATTCTGGGGAAAACCGATAATTTTAGGACAAATCATCACTGTTAAGAACAGTCATGTGTAATAATGATAATTTTGGACCAGACAGCATGTCAGAACAACACTTTGTCACTAAATTGAAGACAGTTTTTAGAAAGATAATATATAAGCTCACTGCTTTGATATTGTGGCCTAAAACAAGACAAAATAATAACCTGAAAACATACACTATGGTATCGCTTGGCATGATAACAGAGGTAACAAAATACTGGTTGTAAATGGTTCAACCAATACCCCAGAATAATATAATTTCGACAGAGAGCAATTTTATATAAAGATAAAGGGAAAATGAGTACTTATTGAGATTCTCAAAACATTTAGAAAGTAAAAGTTGCTCTATGACATATATCAAAATGAGGAAAAGATTTCTCCTTAACAATACTGTATTGACCACATAGAAAGAGAGGTATTGTCTTTCTGTAAATTTCACAAATTTAAAACAAGTATCATTAGTGGTGATGAAAACAAAGTTAAAAACTGCTGTGTCTGTTGACGAGGAAGAATTTAAACATTACAGTTACCAAAACATAAATATTTAAATACTAAATGTAAAACAAATGTTACATACAATTGATCAACCTGACGGAGGGATAAAATGACTAACTAAACATCACAGATACATTTCAAGACTTATACCGGTATATCATATACAAGTAATAAATTTGACAGAGTTATTCCCCTTTGGTTGGAAATCTGTGTCACTATTGCCTAAAGTAAAGTCATTCCAAGACAAGAAAAGAAAGGGTATGAACTATCAATCGTTAGAAATTATTGGGGATTTTTTGTTGAAAATATCAAGTGTTTGAACGAGGACAGGAATTAACTCTCAAACAAAAATGCTAGTTCACCATGTAAAAACTTATATTCCAAGGGGCCATGAATTTAATCCATTATATTTTCATGAAAACAATGGCAGTCAATTTTTTATTTTCTTTTTCTTTTTTGATAATTCTTTATATTCCTATGATATTTTGGATTTTGATTATATTGGAACAAACTGATAAAATTTTGTACTTTTGAATAGAAAATGAATTATTTGTTTATTTAGAAAAAAAATTAGGCAAATAAAGCCTCTGAGATTCACATTATGAAACATGTTGACTTATTATTATTACACGTGTAGAACAAGCAGAGTAGCCACAATATACCACTCAACAAGAGAAAACTTTAAACCTTTTGCTAGTATGCCAGAAGTTAAGGGTTTGATTCCTCACAGAGGCATTTAAATAAATTATTACCTCAATTACATTTTAAACTATAATCTAGATATTCTACATAAAAACATACCTACAATTTCTTTTGAGGAGTTCACACATTCAACAGCAGTCGATTTGACATGATTGTATCAAACTATAGTATAGTGTTTTTTCTGAACAACCGTTTCTCATAACACAGCTTGACAGTTTTACACTTTACCTCAATCCTTTTGAGTATATAGGATATATAATCTATATGGTAGTCCAAGGTCTGGCTCTGATGGTAAACAGGTCATTCTCTATAATCTCAACACATTGCCAACAAACATTACTGTACATCCAAATAAATACAAACAATTTGATTACACATGTAAAACCTTCACTCCTATGGCAACATGAATTGTTTAAAAGTATTATACACAAATCAAATACATACATACAAAATAAAAATAAAAATTATCCCTTTCCGTCAGAATTTCAATCATTATCAAGTTATACACTAAGTCAACCGGGTGTGTAAAAACGAGCATTTGATTTTAAATATGGTTATAAATACAAATTGTAATTTACATATATAGGTGAATACAAAATTAAAAACAAAATCATTCATAAAGCAAATATCAGTCTCCATCAGTTTAAATCTAGGTATAACTTATAAATTATGATTTAGCCACCCGTTTCTGAAACTGGTTTAAAATTTCCTTCATGTTTAATAGCATATATACATATGATACCAAAAATCACAACTCAACCATCACAGAAGTATATAGCTGTCAGTTCATAGGAGATTCTCTTGAAGATGAACTTTCTATAATAACAGTACATAATACTAATATGAAATATCTTGTCATATTATCATTCAGAATTATTAACAAGTGTCCCTTTAAAAAACAAAAACTTTGTTTCATAACTCAAAATAATTCACACATATTCTGTTGATATATTATGACTTACTTAGAAATAACGGAATGTATTCTGCAAGACTGTGTTTTAACGTCGAAAAAAAATTTGGAGTTACTTCCCTTTGACTTCTAATTCCATAGGTTCATCTAATACTTACAAAAAGTTTCCATTTAACAAACCGAACAGACACTTGAATAATAAATACACAACATGTATGTATTGCTTCAAGTTTCTCACACATGGTTGGTGCAGGTTTAATACAAGGGCTGCATTTAGATGGAAATGTTCTCAGCTTTGATGAATTTCTTCTATGCATTTCCTTATTCAAAAGGAAATGATAGATTAAAATACAAATTTAACACTTTGTCCCAGATAGGAACCTTGAACTGTATACAGAACTGCTCCTGTTATTCTTTTCTTCTGTTACAATCCAATGATTAACTTTGCCTTGAATTAAACAAAATAAATATTAGTTTTACATTGTGATTTATAAATGGCATATTATAACATTGTTACTATCTGTGCATCATCTTTGCCAATATCTTGGATGCCCGCATAGAACCACAAAAACTTACTAAATCATATCACTATATCTACTTCAGTAAAAGTCATAAAATATATTTCAGAATCTTAAAAATGTACAGGTGAACAAAAGTTAAATATATAGGCACAAATTATATGAATATGCAATGGTAGCTAGACTTCAGTTTTACTTTACAACAATGAATTTGCAACAACATATTGGATGAACTTTAAGACAGTGATGTGTAAACCTCCATTTAGTATGAACAGTGCTGAGTTAGACTTCATACTTACATGGCGAATATGAATCTCACTAAAGATATTCAAAGCTCCAAGGATAATAAATCCTGAATACTGAATCAGATTCAAAAATTCCTGAAAGGAAATGTTGAAAAAATTAAACTTCACATTCAAAACAAAATTTTCAACATCTCTATCAAGTTCAAACATTATCCTTTGGTTCATAAACATACAGATTCATATATATATATACCTCGTGCATAGGTATTCTGACTATTTGGATCAAATAGGTTGAGCACATGCAAATTGGAGGGACAATCTGAGATGAGCTAAAATTAGAATCATATATTGACAGAAATCTTTCCGTATGTAGGTAATTAGGATTGAAATCTAGTTTATATGCTTAAACAAAAATAAAATTTGATCACTTATAGCTGTTGTTTTTGGTTGTTTAGTTCATGGGAAATCAGTAACATTATATAACACGACCCCACAAATATATCATCCTAGAAATTACATAGGTAGTTTTCTCAGGGAGAGGTATTAAAAGAAGACAGGATTCCCTTCTCATAGAAACTACCTGACAACAAATCAACAATACACTGTATTATAAGACTATCATCACCTAAGTAGAATCATGTTTTACATCCCTCTTATAATTAGGTATGAAGTGAAATCTCTATCCAAGAATTCTAAACCAACAACTGTCTATAACCAATTTCATTTATTCTCGTTTACATGTCTGAGGCTGAGAAAAATTAACTGCCACAAACATGTTATTAGTAAAGTCTTGTGAAAATTAAAGGCACACATTTATTTCAGTATAAACACAATTTTAATTGAATATTAGAAACTTGAATTGGCTTAGTCGGTTAGAGTGTCAATCTATGTAACCTCAGGTGTTTTTTCAAATCATTACACTCCTATCTAACTCCTGAAGACAAAGAATGAAAGGATTATTCCATTCAGGTTGAGAGGTTTTCAGGCTGAGAGACTCCTATCTCACTCAGTATCAGTATACATACTTTTCCATGTCATATATACAGCAGATATTTACAGTTGTGGGATTATACAATATCACATGATGTACAATGTGCATTTATTGTCTTTACATGCATGTATAATGTGTACACAATATGGAACCAAGATGGAATTTGATATCCTACATCTGTGCTCACAGATGTGTGATTCTATTGTGGTTTACATCAATTTAGAAAAGACTAATATATAAGAGTGGGATAGGGCTTATTTATTTCCTCAATATAAAAGAGTGCAGCCTTATTAACACATACATTTATAGGTCAGACACATGAAGATCTAACAAGTACACTCGATACACTTGAAATTAAGAGCGTTTTGTTTTTAAAGTACCACATGTGACCAGCAAAGGAAATTTTATTTACATTTCATTTATTTTATTTATGTTACATCTGTACTGCTATCTTTTATCTATCATTTTGTAAAGAAAAAATATCTATTCAGGTAAATTTGAAGTATTGTGTTCGTTATATTGGACACTGACCCAGTCACCTATATACCCATATACAGGTAATTTCAGTTGCCTGGGGCACACCACTCACCACTCTCAGAGGTATGACACTACAGTCTAATGAATGCAGTGTTTGGTTTTATTTCAATAAATGTCATATTAAAAATGGGGCAAAGCCGCAATTGGCCAGATTGTGGAATGAGTGCAATGTTATATGGCATTTATAAGACAGTTAAGGGTGTTTCATTTGTCGAGTATGTAGAATATTTGTTATAAGAGAGAAAGTTTGGTTGTATCTATGAATTGGTGCAGAAGAAGTTGCAGCCATTTTTGACTCGGAGATGTTCAAAAAATAGACAATGTACATCTAGGGCCCTTCCCTGCCAAATTGTGGAAAATGACTAAGTTCCAAAGCCCGGAAAATCCAGAAAAACGTCCAGCATTATTCCATAATTGGAGGTGCACATCTTCAACATATATATAAACGTCCTACAAAGTTTCAAGCTTCTACGTCAAAAACTCTAGGAGTTGATTCTACAAAACTGGTACCCCTTTTCCCGCCCGCCCAACATTCACCATACTATAACAGGGATTTGCACTATGTGCAACCCAGCCAAAAATGACTGTTGAAATTACCAATTAATATTTAATATGCCTATGGTCACCATTTAGTCATAACTACACAAGTTTTCCATTTAACTTTCAATCCATAATATTAATAAACCTTTTTTTACCAAACCTCACAAAAATTTGCAATCCTATCGCACAGATGATGAATGCAAGTTGTACACAAACCATGCATGCACAATGTTTGCACAGTTTTTGGTGTGTTGTGTACTACCACAACTTTAGTATGGTTTGTCCAAACCTTAAACTTACCCACACTTTATCAATGAAGATTGCAATTAGAATCATCTGCAACATGGCTTGTCCTTCACATAATCTCCACATCCATACTATTACCCATGTGCCTGTCGAATGTAAGACTGTTGTCTGTAGCTCCTGGAGGTCAAGTAAAACATATCATTTACAACAGTAAAAATAATTTAACTTAGATTAGAAGTATATTATCTGATTGTGGACAATTATAATTAAATGTTCTCAGTTCTGATAAACCAGACCTAAAACCCATCGTTCAATGTCACACAAATACATGTTCATCTCTTCATTCATATTAAAATTTCATAAGAGATAATTTATTCTGAAACTTCTGGCATTAAAGACTTTGTGTACTTTGTCAGTAACTGTTTTCATGTGGACAGCCATCTTATGACATTGATGGACCTCCTGTAAACTTGGTGTAATTTAATTTTAATTTTAATGGTGTAATTGTAGCCAATACAGTTTAAGTAAGTACTGTCATAGACAGTCCATGCTACTGGTGTACTATTCTACACATTATTTTAGATGACCAAAACTGTCTACATACATATCATTATCAATTGTTACGTTTTATTTTATATCTAATAAAATTTCATTTTGCAATAAAATCAAAATTTACAGAGTATAGCAAGCAATACATGGTATCCAACCTCTTGCTAAACAGCTGTATCAAAATTTAGAGAAGAATTGATAAATATAACTGTATTTCCCATACTGTACATCTTATTACAACCTCACATCAACTCACTTTAAAAGTATTCCATTTTATTTTTAGAAATATCCTTTATGACCAAAAATTGTACAATGGAGATTGTCAAATTTACGTAAATAAACTAGAGGCTCTAGATTAAAACTGCGGATTTGACAGGTATACATTCAAAACACAATTACGAATGTACACAAACCTAAGTATGTGTACACAAGATCTAAAATGACCTTTTACACGGTATCCTCAAGCTACCCGCGAATGTCAATAAAAAATCTACAAAATCAAATTAAATGGAGTTTAGAATGAATAGGCTGCTTGTTAAAAGCTTACAAAAGCTTACACAAGTTGCCATAAAATAACTGAAATGTTTTAAACAAAACCTGCCACTCTTGCCATTGTGTTCACATATCACTACTGTTAACAGTAATCAACAGGAAAAAAGTCAAACATAAAGCCGGTTGCAATGTCTGAAGTTAAGTTCTATGTCGGTGATTTTTGGGATTCAAACTCATATTTTTTTTTCTGTGAGACTAACTCAGATGTTAAGAACCCTCTACATTCCATTGAAACAGTACTAATCAAAAATTTTGAAATGGTGTTCAGGACTCATCAGGAAACTTTTAACTTCATCTTAACTGGTCAATCAGCTCCACATTGATCAAACACAGTTGGTTTCAAAAAGAGACAAAATAGGCCTGTATAGCTCACCTATCCTGCAGTTTCTGAAGAAAACTTTTTGTTTGAAAAGTTTTGAACTTTCATTCATGTTTATCCAAAACTGGATACTCCCATATAAGGCAATTTTAGGGAATAGATTGGATTCTTGTGAACTTTAAACATGGTAAAGGTCATCAGAAGTATTTATCTAATATGAACATATCTGGCCCAGGCCTGGCCATGTGACTTTGCAATTTAAAACCAGACCAAGGTAACTTTCTTCCACAAACTTTGAAGCTTAACAGATGGTAGGATGATGGATGCTATACCTCAGCATAAGCTCAAGATAATGAAATTTATTATTTCTATAACACATGTGTCACATTTGTGTTTATACACAAATGCAAATGATTTCAAAGACACAATATATGTATAAATACTGTAACTGTTAAATGATTGATTTCATCACATATTATTGTTTACTTTATATCTTTGATCAGAACAATACAATCACAATACTTTAAGTAACTAACACACTTTTTCATATTCTTACCGTTTGCTGTGTAGTTTCCAGGTTTTTCTGTAGAACATTGGCATATGATTCAACTGTTCGATCCCATGTCAGAGAAGCCAGTGCCAGCATCAATCCAAAACACAGCACTTTAAAGAACATGATATTTTTACTTGGTTTCCCACTGGACTTCTCACCAGCAGTCAGCTGTGTATTACTTTCTGTAGGTTTTGTCCAAGGCAGAACCTCTGGAATAGTAGTTGCTTTGGAAGCCGGTGGACATTTCCACAAATAAAACAAACAACCAAAGCACAAAGCTATACCTGCTGTTGTATCACATACAGAGTCCACTAAATATCCAAATGTGTGCCTGTTAGACTTGTACAGACTTTTACCAGACTGACTGCGGTACACTACTCCATCATAACCATCCAACCAACTGCGAATTTCATACAACACAACACCAAGTCTGCGATTCCTCAATGAATCTGACGAAACAAACTTTGCTGCCAATAGTCCCAGGACAAGATGAAATGTACTTATCACATTTGGAGTGATGAAATAGAAAATTTTACTAAATTGCGTTATTTGATCAAAATATTCTGTGGTTGGGTTAATGATATAGTGACTAGCAGGATCTGTCATGATGAGTTTGATAGATAGAGGGTGAAATGGTGAATACGGCCCATCTCGTTTCTGGTCTAGTAAGTTAGTATTTTGTAATGAAGCATAAAGTATGATGTCCATGAAAAAAAAATACATTAATAACAATACACTAACCATCATCATAACATTTTTCTCATTTCGAACTGACTGGAATAAATATGAAATCATCCTGGACGGGGCCTCTCGTTGAATCTGCTGTAGTTCTTTCATTGTGTCTTCTAGATTAGCAATACTGATAATTCCATAGGCTTATTACTCAATACCCTGCCAAGGTATGTGACTAGTGTCCTTGTGTTTGTCTATTTCTCCTGAAAAACAAAGAAACGGGAAATGTGTATACATTGTAGTACGATAACAAATTACAATGCAACATTATTAATGTTTACCTCAGTCTGGGGTTTACAGTACTAGTGCTATCAACAATAACACTTCAAATATATATACACCAAGCTTGTCATTCATATGTAAATAACTCTTCAATAGGAACGTTTCAATAATATGTATCAAATTACTTGTATAAAGTCAGTTAGTCACATGTCAACAACTGAACAACATTGGCAATGATTCTGAACCATACGCTGTATAATATGCTGGAGATAGTCCCATGTTTCAAAAAACAGTTGTACCTGAGTGGTAATAGCTGTTATTCCATAAAACCAGTTGTATCCGAATGTATAATGCACGGCCTGTCAGAAGAGAAGCAGCTGTTAAGAAATTTTTTCACATGTTTGTACAGGTACACTTCACAACGTTCATTCCCAAAATCTGCTGGTCATGGTGTCATAGGTCCATGTTGATCAATCATTGCTTATAAAATATGTGGTTATACCAGTAGTGTGTATTCTGTAACATACCATCATTTAGTAAATGGCAATTTGAGAACAACCTAAAGGAAAACTCAAAACTCAATTCAATAGAATGCTTCAATAATTCAAACTGCTCTAGGCCTGTGGTATTTAAACCCACACAAAACCTGTTCTATGTATATTTTATAATCAATTCACTTTGTCAAGCTCTACAATATATGGTCATTAGACATGTCCTTGTTGTGCCCCAGCTCGATTACCATATTTTCAAGATTATAAGCTGGTGCTTTTTTTCCTCTGTGGTAAAAAGACACAAGAGCATTGTTGTTCATAAACTTGACATCCTGAATTAAATATTCAAAGCAGTCGTGTAATTAACATTTGTCTTTAAAACTGATCATGATCTATCATTATGTAATTCTGATCCAGAAAGAAATGTAATAGCTGTACTGTTTTTTAGTAACCGGTAATAATACAAATTATATGGTGTATGGACAATGATTACCTTGTGCAATACATTGGTAAAATTTTACAGTGTGTGTTCAGATAAGCAAAACCTACTAGATTTTTTGTAGTCAAGGTAAATACTGGCACAGTGTACAGGATTTTACTAATTAAATGGCATGGTATTTAACATAATAAAATTCGATTCTGAAAACCAATTACAAGCTATTATAACATTTCCTAAAGGAAGCACCAGATGAAATCTGAGTGGCCAAAAAGAACTCAAGATATCATTTTCTATCTAAATTGACTGTGACTTTGACCTGAAATGCAAACACAGAGGAGCACTTTCTATAAAGAAGCACTAGCTGGATTAAGTAAGAGTGGAATTGGAAGAAACCAAAAAGGAACTGGTGGACAAAGGCACAGGCATTTATATCATTCCATGGGGATGATTGTTTGTAATATATATATATATATGCTATTATTGTTTGTTTTTGTGTCACCATGGCAAAATCATTGATTGAGAATTATTTTCAATGCCTGCATTCTCTATATATATGCCAGCTGGGATTTTATGTATTGGTGCTATGTGCACAAAAGGTAATACCTGACCTGCTGAAAAACAATAAGATATTTGAGGATTTTTTTTTTGTGCATTTATTGACAATATCCTGTTATTAACCAATAAGGCAATATATTAACAGGAACAAGCAGTTTGGCAGTAATTCACAAATAACAATATCATGATGTGTCACAAGTATTTGAAGCTGTGAAGCTAGCAAGGACATCTTTAACAATGAATTAAAAGTATTGTTTGCTTTGGTTTTATGGTATAGCAGTAATGCATTTGTCTTTAACTTAGCCATTGGTGACCAGGGTACTGGTTCAATTCTAAGAAGGAATTAAAATGAGATATTGTCACCAACAGACCACCTGGATAATTCCTGGATACTCTGTGGTTTACTGTCATAGTTAAACAACAACTCCTCAGGACAGTAACATTAGAATGACATAATACAATAAAATTTTACTTACATATCGCATTACAGGTGTATACTAAATTAGATTAACATATAGTCATACATCTATGATGAGGTAACCATAAATCAAAACATTCAAACTTAAGATTTTTCACTGCCTTATGATATGTGCATCTTTTTTGACCTGATAGCTGAACTTGTGAGTAAGTGAGGGTCTACTCATTTCAGGTATGAAATCAATTACAGCTAAGGAATCTATGCAGCTGAAGGTAAATCATAATCCATGAATGTTATGATGTCAAGGAGAATTAATTATATACCTTCTTTTAAACTCTACATGACAAGCAAGTTAATCTCGACAAATTTACATCGCAATACTCAATGTTCAACACTTGTATTGGGGAAATTGAAAAACTGTGTCAAGTTCGAGCTTGATAAAAAAGGTCAAAGACAAGTCAATTAAATGCAACTTAACTCAATGATAAATAAAAAAAAATAATAAATACTTTATTCAGAAATCAAATGCTAGAACTCATTCATCACTTCCTCGGTATTCTGAAGATTCAGTTTGATGACCTTAATTGAAAACATAACGGTATATTAAATCACGTACTTGATATCTAAGTCCATAGTTAAAGGGATTGTGACATACGTATACAGCACATTATTTATATGCAACACTGTTTAATTAACAATGAGACTGTCAAACAGATGCTACCGATGAATGCAAATCGAAACATGTTACCACACCAGCGGTTTATTTTCATCTGTTTTTTTTTCAGCAAGAATTGTTCAAAAATCAATCAAATGTGTAAATTAAAACTCATTGATTTTCATATTGTCTTTTAGCTGAGGTAACAGTGTGGCTTATTTCGCAAACAGTTCATCGCGATCGTCTGTCAACTTCGTCCGAAAGGTGACTGTCAACACCGGGAAAATCTGGCTGTCTGTCTCGAAACATCGCCGGCGTGTCGGGACGCGGTAAAAACCAAAACTAATATAAATAATAACTAAATGTTATTTATCCAATCAATAGTAAACTTACACTTACCTAATTCTAGGGTTTTCACTTACATCGTTGATGTTTTCTGTTTCACTCCCTGATTGAGCTACGCATGCGCACAACTCGCGTCTCTGAAGCAGCGTCTAATGCTGGGGATGACAAACATCTAGGTGAAGCATCGAAATCTAGGTCACTTTCTGGTGGGCGTGTCCATCTCCACACGATGTAAACTAACTTTCATGACGTATCATTCTAGCTGGTTTTAAAATGTTACGCCTTTTCCACGGATTTCATGAGTTCATCCTTTAATTTCCCCACATTATACACAATCGATTTCTGTCAGACATAACCCACGAAAACTAATGACATATATACGCAAAAATACTACATGGGCAAATTCACTTGATTTACAAGCAGATTTTGTGATAAACAGAGGATCTTAATCAGTGTCGGTGTTACAGGGAATTCATTAAATGAGTAAATGTGATTCGATAAGTCACGAACCTTTAGACGAGTTCAATAAATTCCATTTATTCATATTTCTGAAAGGTAAAAAAAACACTTTGCGATAAGGAACAAGGCAGTACGTGTTTACTCCCGACACAATGATAAAGGACAAGGCAGTACGGTTTTACTCCCGACACAATGATAAGGGGCAAGGCAATACGTTTTTGCTACTGACACAATGATAAGGGACAAGGCAGTACGTTTTTACTCCCGACACAATGATAAGGGACAAGGCAGTACGTTTTTGCTACTGACACAATGATAAGGGATAAGGCAGTACGTTTTTACTCCCGACACAATGATAAGGGACAAAGCAGTACGTTTTTGCTACTGACACAATGATAAGGGACAAGGCAGTACGTTTTTACTCCCGACACAATGATAAGGGACAAGGCAGTACGTTTTCACTCCCGACACAATGATAAGGGACAAGGCAGTACGTTTTTGCTACTGACACAATGATAAGGGATAAGGCAGTACGTTTTTACTCCCGACACAATGATAAGGGACAAGGCAGTACGTTTTTGCTACTGACACAATGATAAGGGACAAGGCAGTACGTTTTTACTCCCGACACAATGATAAGGGACAAGGCAGTACGTTTTCACTCCCGACACAATGATAAGGGACAAGGCAGTACGTTTTTGCTACTGACACAATGATAAGGAACAAGGCAGTACGTTTTTACTCCCGACACAACGACAAGGAACAAGGCAGTACGATTTCACTCCCGACACAATGATAAGGGACAAGGCAGTATGTTTTTGTTACTGACACAATGATAAGAGACAAGGCAGTACGTTTTTACTTCCGACACAATGATAAGTCTTCGTAAATGAATAACCTCGTTTGAGTCATAACGTCACAAGTGTTATCATACATTTGTCTTACGATATGTCAATTATAACATGGCCGTAAAACAAAACCGGTCAGTTATGTAATAACAATACATAATGACCTAACGTATTATTTGTATAAACTTCAGCAAAAATAATAGCATCGGCTGTATCAAACAAGAAAAGAAATTATTAAAGCTTTAACCTAGTGATTCAGCACGAGCTTGGAATCCTGGGTAATTAAAATAAGGTAGTAAATTTACTGTCCTAAATGTTTTCCAAAATAATCAACTTAACACGAAATGATAAAGTTGTGGTTTTCTTAATCATCACAATACATACAACTTCACGAAAAAGGATTTCTACAATATCGTATAGAGAGGTTGGCAGTCGGGCTTGGAGACTGAACAGAGTGGTAAAGGATCCATGGTAGTTAACATTAGAGTAACTGTACTGACATACTTAAGCTGACGACATATGTCCCATAAGGTAGCAGTACACAGTTTCTCGGTGTGGCCATGGGTGATTTTTTTGCTCATTAGATTACCCCATTATAAAGGTTTTAATTAAAAATGAAAAAAAAATCCTTGCTAAAATTGGTCCTGTCATGTTAAAGTGGACAATGTGGGGTTTCATTTTTTTCAGGATAATATTTTAGCTTTGTGTTGGAGATTACTATTTGGGCAGTCTCGAATCTGTGTCTACGCACCAAAAACTAGCTTTACAGGAAGTGAAATTTTCATAGTGTTCACATGTGGTCATGTTATGAAGAATTTCCGAGTTGGAATTTGCTGAAATGTAAGTACTTTGTTACCATGACAGTGTTGTTGATTGTAAGATAGGTGTTTAGAATTAAATTTCTCCTAGAAAGTTGTAGTGTTGGGTTGGAATTAGCAGTATTTTTGCATTTTTAGCATTTTTTCAGTAGGTAACCATGACAATCAAATGTCAGAAATCAGAGGAAATTTTTTTTTACACAAATTTCATCTCTCTACTGTTAATGTAATTGTTATATAGTTTATAAATATATATACATGTAATGATGTATTTTTCATAACCAATCTGCTATACCTGTATATCTCAAACATGACAAATAATTTCAGGAAAAATGCAAATTAACTGTTTACTGCTACCTAAGTAACAAATGTAATGATCTAGAACGTATGTTAAAGATGTGCGAGGTTTATAGTAAACAAAATGTAAGATTTTGTCTTCGTCTGTCAAAAGTAAACTAATGTGTTTTAGTAAACACAAAAATTCAAATTCAAAACAGTTTTCTATGCGATAAGTTATACCGGAATTTGAAAATTTGGGCATGAACGAACACGACGTGCATGCAATAAGTTAAAAAGTGGTACAACGTGTTTAATTAAGAGTGTTGCATACTCTAGTGCATCAAAGCCAGTGATTTCTGGTAAACTTATCAAACAAATTGTGTATACATCAGCACTTAATATTTGTGAGCTTTTGATTTTATCTAAGAATAAATTTACTGCTCAGGGTGTTAGAGATAGCTCATAAATAAAAAGCAATTCGGGGATTTTATAACAGAACACGCACTGACATGTGTTGTGGACTAATTGGATAGACATCCATAGAGAGTTATATAGATACAAAGAAACTGTTATTTTACGGAAGACTGTGCCACTTAAACAAAAATACCTTGACATATAATATATTTTTAAGGAGACAGTATTCATCAATGCTGAATGGATACTTAAACAAAATTTGAATTTTATACGATGTTTTAAGAATTATTGATAAGTACACATTGACAGACATACTTCTAACATTTATTCAAACAAGTACTTTTCCTTCCGAGTAAACTGCAATGAAAAAACTCAATGAGTCTGTGTTGTTGAAAGAAGAACGAGAATGGAGGGAGAATGGAGGGAGAATGGAGGGCGGTAGTTAATTTAACAAATTTACTCTTGTTCATAAAAATAGAGTTGCATATATTATGGAAGCTTGCAATAAAATACACATATTACAAGAAATCGATAAATTATGTCATGAATGTTGTTTCAAATTTTAACGAATGTACAGAATTATGTCACAAATTCTGAAATATGTATCGAGACACCTTAACCTACAGAAAGTAATACACAGCTGACTGCTGGTGAGAAGTCCAGTGGGAAACCAAGTAAAAACATTCAGTAGTAGCTATAGGAAAAATGTCGAAGGTGTACTATCAGCAGTGTGGTCGTAATTACCACTCAGCCACATTATCTCTTCAAAGTTTAAACCGCAACGAATCTATACTACCTATGATGTGTATATTCTATTTATAAATTTAATCACAATGTTGATTTCATAGTTTCATTATAATGTATTATATATATGCGTGTTGTCTAAGATACATGTACACGTGTAAATTAACTACAAAAGTGCCGTCATAGCCTCATTATAATATAACGTGTGTATACTACGTACTATGCATGTACTCTAGATACATGTACACGTGTAAATTAACTACAAAAGTGACGTCATAGTCTCATTATAATATAATGTATGTATACTACGTATAAGCGTGTACTCTATAAAAGTACATTATTGAATTCATAGTCTCATTACATATGCATGATGTAATGTTTCTATACTACGTACTTTATTTAATAGTCTCATTACAATAAAATGAATCTTTACAGAGACTAATACGAACTAATATGCTCTATACTCTGATACTGTGCATGTGTGTTTTCTATTATATAATCGTGTATAAATGTTCTCAATGTTTTGTATAACGTGTTCCATTTCTTTTGTACTCTTCATTTTGGAGGCAATAAAGAGGATAATAATTAGTACTTCAGCACGAGCCTGGAATCCTGGGTAATTAAAATACAGGTAGTCATCAACTGTACAAAGCACAGCTTGCTTTATGGTGTTTCACGCAAATTTATGGTGTTAAATACTTTCCAAAATAATCAACTTAACACGAAATAATCAAGTTGTGGTTTTCTTACTCATCACAATACATACAATATCACGAAAAAGGTTTCTTACAATATCCTATAGAGAGGTTGGAAGCTGGGTTTGGAGATTTATAAGCGAATCGCATTTTGAACAAGTTGACTTTGCAGATTACATCGGTATAAATAAAAGACGTCCAGAAACCGAACAGGAAAAGTTAAACAAACACTGGTACAGGTTAAATTAATTTCTGTTCTGACATTTTATAATCATCAAAGTTTAAATTCCCAGTCCATTCGCTGTAAATCATGTCAAGCCAAGCAATCGCAGATTAATGTTGATCCAGCATATATCCAATTACATATATCTTGTAAACGTACGATATTATCATAAATTAGCATACTTGAACAGTATAATAATAAGATATCTGATGTGACTAGATTACCGTTACTTCCTGAATAAAAGACAACCGGGCGCAATTTCACGTATTCTAAAGATGAAAGGATAATTCTTTTGGTTTGTCATTTTTAGATATGCAGTATTAGTTGTTCATACATTTTTTGCGGAGTTCATATAAAACATTTTCTTGCTAACTTTGTTTTTAACTTATTATGCAGGGTGTACACTTTGGCTCTGACTACATTGTAAAAAAATCAAATGGATTCACATTTATTCTAAATTTAATATTCTGGAAACAATTTAAACACAAGAGCAATAACTTAAAGCGATTCACGTTTGTACTGAGTATATCCAATTATATAAGATATTCTATTTAGCATATACGATACTTTACATACTTACTCTATATTATATACCTTATTAAATATTGTACTGCCCAAAGTTCTAGAATTATACATATCGTTTTGCATTTATTCCTTATTTCAACAGGTACATACGGAAGCCCATACGGGCCATGAGAAACTCGCATATAATGTGTGTATGTATAGTATATATGTAGTAGATTATATGTAAGTTTCTCATGGCCCCTCTACCTTTTAATGTCTCAGTGTCCGTTACATGATACATATAGAAGTATTTGTCGTCGTTTGAAAGTCACGAGAGTATACTTATTAGTTTGCAAATATGCACCTGTAGGCAACTCACCAAGTACAAATCGGCAAGTGAATTCGTCAGAAGGTAGCACTATGCCAGAGTTTAAAGGCGGTAACCAGTATGATATTAAAGGTGACCGCTGTGTAACTTTTAACAGATGTCCGTTACGGTTTAAAAAACAAATAGATTCTACCCATTGTAAAGTGTGGAACGTATCTCCGTGCTAGTAGTTAATCACTCGTCATTTGTCTGATGAAGATGACTGTGTAGTAATCGAAACGTCACACTCCAATCTTCCACTGGTTGTGTTATAAGAACTTCTATTTTATTGATATACGAACACGAAGAAAATGTTCCTAAGTATGTGATTCAACTATTTAAATTTCTGTATGATTTTCATTTCAATCATTTTAAACCCATCAAAACGAACTACTGAATGAACAATTCACAAGTTCTTCCCAATGTTCGTCACTGTACTGCCTGTTAACACAATACATTTTCTGTAAACCTGGTAAATACTAACCGCAATATGTCACTTGGCTACAATGATGACATCTTTAGCTTAATGGTTGAGCACAAGACTAGCAAGTCAGAGGTTCTGGGTTCAAATCCTAGCGGAGGTATTGAAATAATGGGCTGTTCACATTGGCGCCAATCAAGAATAATATTACCATAGAGAATCTGACAATATCTGACAAGGGGTCATGTTCTAGTGACCTTTGCAAGGTTGTATCCATTATTTCATTTTATAACAACAAGAATGTTGATCTGAATTATATTCAGATCCTAATTTCACTCCATTATTCTCTGAATAAGAGTGACAAAAGGTATCTGCATTTTAATCAGATTGGCACATAAACATGCCTTAGCTTTGGTTGATCTGTTGCAATGAAATGACAAATGTACAAATAGGATAATGCAAACTTTTTCACTTTAAATCACTTTCATGATTCAGTTAGTGGTAACTTAATTGGCTAACGCAAAAGTTCACCAAAATATGACCAGATTAAGATGTTGTCAGATCCTTCACAGGGAGTAATGGAATACGAATTAGGATAGGTATTTTATCAGATTGATAAACAAATGAACTTTCCTTTACAAGTTTATACAAGTTTATAATAATCATATATAAAACAATGTACAAATATGTTTTTAATTATCAATTAATCAGCAACTAAACAGAAAATATCACTATACATATATATAATAGAAATGCACATGAGGTTGAAATATTCATTCCAGAGTTATCTCCCATCTTTCCATGTTTTGTCTTTAGTGGCATGTTCCTCATTATTATTAATCCAGAACTTCTTAAAATTTGTCATATAGGCCATGTTCTTGTCGTAACATTTATTCACGCATGATATCTGGAAAAATACAGAAAAAAATAAGATGATGAAAAGGATAAAATTGTACAACTGCATTTAACACTGTAATATCAGTACACAAGACACTTTCATTGGTTATGACATTTCAAATCTCGTCTTGATTCGATGGAAGCTTTATGAGGAATTCAGAAACTGTTATGTACTAAAATTACATCAAGCATCCCACACAAATTGCAATGTGGTAACTGAGAAAATTGTACACATCATGCAGTCAATGCAATAAAGTGTATTGGAGAGTACTAATATGTGTTCAAATATGTTCTTAGATTGTTAATTAGTGATACAATGTACTAAGAAAGCCTACCTTTCTTTCAATATCCATATGAACTGTTCATCAGGAGTAAGGTATATTTAAGATCAATATTTTAAGATTACCATAGATTTATGACAATAGCAAATTCTGATATCTTTTGACTTTGACCTTACTTGCTGATTTTAAGGTTTTAAATACCAGAATTCTACTAATTCTGTTTTATGAAATAACAATTACGTCATAATTGAGATTCAGGAATCAATGAAAATCCTCAATAGGAAATTTTAACTCCAGAATCCATGAGTGTAATAGCCAACTTATCAACACAATGAACATGATAGAAGTTTGATGACTCCTACACATTTACCTTGTAAATTAAACTAATCTGTAATGCTTCCACTTTTCACATAGACAAAAATAAATGATGTAATGAACTTAATCAAATTCTCAATGGACAGATATTAGGACCAATCAATATGACTCAGGAGAATACAATTTTGTTATGTCTCCATATCCTGAACCAAAACAAAGTTGCAAATTAAAAGGTGATTGACGAGTATACTTATATACACACACCAAAGAAAATGCATATGGAGCTGGAAATAAATATAGAATATGTGATGTCATGTACATATAACAGGGCTATCAATCTGCCAGATTTGGGGCTGAAGATCGGCCCCATTCCCAATGCAAAATAGTATCTTTTTTTCCCAATTTAGACCCCAAGTTTTCCCAATTCTAAGGAAAACACCATTATTTTTCCCAATTCAAAGGGCTCCGAGCCCCAGTCCCAAAATGGGGTGTGAGAACCCTGTATAATTACACTAATGTATGACCATGATATTATAATTGTTGGTTTCAATATTGGAAAACGAAGAAGACATACCTCTCTCTTTGTTAAACTGTCCTGATCTAAACGAACCACACATTTTGTAAAACAGTCTTCTGATAAGTTGTTTAATATCATAAATGATGCACGTATCTGAAAAAGAAAATACTCCCACAGTGTGAACAAGCTACAAGCCAAATTGCCAATATACCATACGTACAAATAGATATTGCTGTAATTTATCTCTTTCTGGTTTAAGTTCCCAAATCTGTCAGCTCACCAGGAACAATTGAATATGGTATTTATTTTCAACTGGGTGATATCTATATATCTTAAATGCCATAACCAAAGCCTCTCTTACCGGAATATTTATGACTGGCAAAAAGGTTTCTGACATATACCATGTCAGTGATGAATATTAGCCAAGACTCCTCTTTGCATTGATAGCTTTCTATAAGAATATTTGTGACAATTGCTGAATTAAAAAAAAGCCATCAACTAAAGTATTGTTACTGGACACCTCAATCCTCTGCAAAGTAACACCATAAGGAAAGAATGAGTACAGTGATTATCTGAAGTTTTGATTTATATAAAAATAAAACCTTTAACGCACCTCAGTTTTTTAAAATCTTTTCCAAATGCCCCCTTTTTTTTCTTTTCCATAAATAAATCATGCATTGAGCGGTTGATTAGTTGAAGTGTTTGAAAGAAGGCAATCACAATTAAAGTAATTTTTTCCAAGTCAGCTTTCCAATTCTCTTGATCAGGTCCCCATTGGCCTACTTACCAACATTAACTCTGTTCATCTATACAGGTCCAGTAATATACAATCTACTGATTGACCTTCATATGTTGCAAATGTTTAAAAGAACTTAATGTGTTTCTACTTCGAAATTATCTGAGACTACCCAAAGCAGTAATCATCCCTCAAATGCAGGGTTGTGCTCAACCCAGAGACGTATATACGTCTCTGGCTCAACCCGATCAATATTATATGATTAGGCCTATACGTCCCTGGCTGTAGGTCAATACTGGGCCTTCACTGCGATTTTTGCTAGTTTTAAATATAAATAACCAATAGCTCTTTGTATCTTTTTCTGTAATTTTGAACGCCATAAATTTATGAAAAGGAACACAATGCCACTTGTAAACCAGCTTAAACAGTAGTAGACTAAACCTTCCAACACTTCAAACATGAATACACCAACGTCTCATATTCTTCTATAAAGTTGTAGAAGGGCAGCTACCAGCAATAACACACTAGAAGTTAATTACTTATCAAAAGCAAAAACGTAGAATCAATGCAAAAAATACGAGGGCATCGAAACATCCATTATTGTGACACCATCAATATACTAGTTAGGATTAAGCATAAATCAGTAGACGCTCCACCAGGGAAAAACGAACAGTTCAGCAATTCTTTATCTGGAAGACAGTCCTGTCTCGGGCAATAGGATAGAACTTCCATGCCCGCTCTTGCGAGGTACTGCGACTAGGGCGCCCTCCCACCGTCATGTCACAGCTCAGTTGGGTATATATATATATCACCTACCAATGTAACAGAGCAGTTACGTACGTGCAAAATCCCCTGACGGAAATTTACAAACAGTTGACGAATGTAAACGTATCACAAACAACAGAATAAACTGACAAAAATCTCTGGAATAGACTTAAATAAGCACAGACCTTCGTATAATTTGAAATAAATCAATGAAAATAATTAATGTCGCCAAAAGCGTGTACCTCATCCTCCATCTTGCAAAATCACTGTCGTTTTGATGTTTACTTGCAAGATGTCTTTCGATGCAAACATTACTAAGACCCTTTGGCCTTTCGTCTAAATATCGACACCGAGCATGTTTCTTAATATCCGCTTTCTTATTCACTTAGTTCGTTATAGGTTTTTACTTTTCAGTCTGTTTGACTAGTACACAGACTTTGATTATGTTTATTCTATTCTTATTTTTATTTACATGTACAAAATGGACTGGACACAAATTGTCAAACTTATTAAAAGCCATTTCACAATAGCATAATACTTGTAGTTCATTCACGGACTTAAAATCAGAAATCGATCGATAATATGGACAATGACATTCCGGCGACAAAATGGCTCCGTTTGAGTTGGTCCCCCACATTTTCATTTTGAAATCTGTCTAAACTCACTTTTCTATCTTTGTGATAAAAGGCTTGCGATTTTGTAGGACTCGCACAACGTTGTATAGAGCAGCCTCCTGCAGGGGTGAAATATCGCAAAACACCGTAGGGCACACATACTATTGGCCGGAGCAACTTCCTGAATCGTGAGGGATGAAATCTCTCAAAATACTATGACTCTCACACCATTGGCTGGAACACACGGATTTATTTGAGCTCAGTATTAAAATTACAATACCTTTTGCACCAATGTCTTTTCGTTATGCAAAATAACCTAACTGAAAAAGAATTAAAATATGCACTGCTAAATTCAAATAACATCCAGTGTTTACGACCACGGGTCTCAATGAAGTACGCCCCCGCTTACAACATACAAAATGTATATCATTTTACGAATGAACTCAAACCTAAAGACTGTAATAAATAAACGGTCTATACATATATAATGAGTCAGTTTTAAGCGAGTGATTTTTCATTTAAATAATGGTAATCAAATACATAAAGAAAACAAAGCAAAAAATAAAAATTAAAGTAACAACACTTGACATGACAAAAAAGAATCATCACCTTTACGGTTTTGAATTCGCAAATAATAAATATAGGAGATTTTCAGAGAAAACTACATCATGCATAGGATTGTGCATGAAATATCTCGACCCTTCATTCACTTCAAGTCTGTGTTAAGTTATACACAGCTGTATATGGATATGTATCAGACACCTTCATATACGGTAGATTTGTCTGTTCTTTAGTAAGTTCACATAATTCACGTCTTTTACAACAGGGTGGAAATATGATTCATATACAGGTAAATGTCCTTATTTTCCCCAACAATCATCAGTATTATAAATACATATTTGAAACAAAACAAAAATGTAAAGAAAATGAAATACATAATGAACATGTATATACAGTACTTAAAACGGTACACAGAGAGTCATACGACCATTTTATTCTTATTATTTCATTCCTTCCTTTCTGTCTTTTTAATTCGAGTGGAAACTATTGAAATATTGAGGTACAGCCTACTGTACTATGTAGTTTCAGGTACTGCATGAAAGGTACAGTAAAAAACAATGGATACATTGATATGAAATCTTCATGTCAATAGATGTATGTCGGGTTATTATACGGTACAAGACACTGCACAAGCATGTGAAATCATTTGTAGTGTACCATTATCAGCCCCCATTTACTGTCAAGCTATGCCTAGGAGTTAAACAAAGGGCAGTAACTCTAGGAGATCAGAATGTAGTGTACAAGTTCTTGTACGTTTCAGCGCAGACAAATGTTCCTTTAACGCTCGTAGTTAGATATAGAGCATATATATATATCTAAGTCCGTGTTCATAAAGATAATAAGTGAAGCGTTTATAAAGTTTCAATTTCATTCTATAACTGCAAAGCAATGGGGTACAATTTCATGCATTGCGATACAAAATATGTACACGCTGTATACAAACAAGTAAAATTAGTAAAACGATCATATGTCCGCGATGCTTGCGTGGGCTAACATAAGTAAAACCTTAAATAGCTGAGTGATCATTTTCTCGACGATACCCGTATAACGGCACGCTCCGATGCATCACAATACACTACTGACTGCCATCCTAGGTTTTACCGTCCCGGTAGCTCGCCATTTCAGTTCGTAATACTATGTAGTTTGTGTAAAGTATGACTGACTCGGTCCTTCCGGGTGTTATCTGGTCCATGATAGGGACCTTAATAGCAGCTGTTCTGTTCTGGTATTTCTACAAGAGGATCACAAGGAAAGTCCCCCTTATTAAAGAGGGCAACTTGAAGAGGTGAGTACCGGTCATTATCAGATACCTATATAACATATGTAAGCCTGTCCGTATTTAGCAAGTCTATGACTGAACATTTGAGCGAGTGTTACGTGCACTTGAGAAGGTTAGTCTATATGTGCACATAAAGTCTGCTTTAACTGGTCCGATTCAATACAAAATTAATCATATTGTCATTTGAATCCGTGTGTATGCAGACAACGCGGACGCGGAGCCAATATAGCAACATTTCACAACCAATAGTGGTACAACCAAACCGTGACAAGAAATGTACATGTATAAAACGTACACTCTCTTTAGCGGCGCAGTGTTTTAGCAAAGTCCCAAGTATTATTAGTAAACGAGCTTGGCATCCGCTCATTGTGGACAACCGACAATTGATATACAAGATACATCCTAGTGACAGCTGCACATTTAGTGATGCAGGTGCGCACAACGTTTTTCGTGCACGCAAATGTATATCTACGTAATTTTGAATCGCAAAAGAGTAAATATTGAACTTTAACACCGTCCTTACAAAATAAAGTCAGATGTCATGAGGAATACAATGTATAACTTATATATTAAAACAAAATGTGACCTATACCTCAGGCGGTCCCTAGACAAAGGCAAATCAAGTGTCTCAGGTACCAGGTATTGGTATACCGAATTACCATACGAATCTGTTCCAAGTTTCACGGTGTGGTCAACTGGCCACATAATATGATCAGGTACACAGTAAGTCATATCGGGGTGATTTGAATAGTCCTTTCATACTGAAACTCACTTCTCTTATTTAACACACACGTATATCATTATGACTTACATTAATCTGTTTGATCGAAAAGTTATGCAACGGTTTTGCTTTTCTTACGTAAATGTGCGGTTAAATTCTTGGGCTTTTCTATAAGGTATTTAACCACTGAACGTCGGTCATATTGCATTTATTGTCAATATGAATGCAATATAGGTGGTAGATACATAGAATGACCGACGTTCAATGGTTATATTTTCATTTAGGATATTATTCAAAACATTATTGCACATTTTTTTCTTCATTGTAATTCTAAATTTTTTCCTCGTTGTATCTTTAAGAACTAAGAAAAGCTTCGAGAAAATTGTAATCAGCAAAATGATAGAATGCATGTTATCTGACGCGACGTGCAAAGCGTTGATGTAACGCCGGTCAATATGGCGCCAAACGACGTCACGGTATTGTCCTGTGGTCCAAACTGTATGTACACTTATGTGAATACAATCCAGATTAATGGGGGGGGGGGGGCATCATGCAAAATTTAAACATATAAATGTATCAAGCGTTCCACCATATACAGCTAACACAGGCATTATATACGTTGATATCAACACAAAAGTACAGTACACAAACAAACAAATACAGAAAAACCTGTGATCACCAAGGTCAAAACATATCCTCAGCGTCACAGCATGTCACTAAAAAGAACGACCACCTTATGTCATATTATGTTCACATTATGTCATCACCAAGGTTAACACATATTATTAAGGTCACAGCGTGTCATTATCAAGGTCAAAGCACGCAGCGTCAACAATAGAATAGGATAGAAATCATTAATAGCATTTCCACAGGGAAATTTATCATCTATAAAGTAAATTTCATGTCAGATCGGTAGTGTATAGATATTTATTTACAGATATTTATTCACAGATCGGTGGTCTACAGATATTTATTCACAGATCGGTGGTGTACAGATATTTGTGTACAGATCGGTGGTGAACAGATATTTATTCACAGATCGGTGATGTACAGATATTTATTCACAGATATTTGTGTACATATATTTATTTATAGATCGGTGGTGTACAGATATTTATTCACAGGTCGGTGGTGTACAGATATTTCTGTACAGATATTTATTTACAGATCGCTTTTTGAGACCAGAGTTTTTCATGATTCGGAAGTACACTGTAGTGTCACGCTTTTAATATTTCTAATACCGAGATGCCCATTAACAGTCAGAAGCGAAAACAAGACGAAGAACTTGTTTTATTGAAATAGAAACTGATTTTTACCTCTCTTGATCTACGTGCAGATTTTTACAAATGAAACACTTCAAAAGCACTATAACGATAGATTACAGATAAAACCTATCTTTCAGCAGCAGGTTTGAGTTGGTGGATGGCGTAAGTCTATTTGACAATGATCACAGTGAATGCGCACGCCGTGTCAGAATCGCTCTCCTGGAGAAAAACATACCCTTCACCAAGGTAATGTGACTCAGCAAATATTTTTACATAAACTTCTAGATATTTGAAAGTTTTTTTTTATACATTTTTGATATACCTATATTATTATGTAATATTAAGAAATACAATGTACAAATATACAATTTTCAAAACGATTCTTTTAGATAATGCTTTATCCGCTATGGTTAGTGTTTTGGTGTAATAGTTAACGTTAAAAACGTTAAACTTAATTTTAAAAAACTTATCCGATGGAAGGAGGGGGGAGGAGGAGGAGGAGGAGGAGGAGGAGGGAAAACGTTCAAGATTGCGATTGAAACCTCTCGACTACAAAAAACAAAATGAATACATAAATAGACAGAATTAAAAATGCCGTGTATGTTTATGATATCAAATTCAATTTCTTTACTGTTGTTTATGATACACAGAGGATGAACATTAAACCGCCCCTGTGATCTCTCATTTGACGCCGAACTATCAGGTTTTGCCTCCTGGTTATTCTAAATCCCATTATAGGGTATAATGTTCGTACCACGCTATATTGAAACCGTCAAAGCTGTGAATGAAATGCAAACCTGATACCGTATAAGTCCGAGTACCATATACACACGTTGCAGTAGTTAGCAAATATAAAATAAAGTTTCCTCCTTTAACACCATCCCACCTTTCTCTAGCACTCATCTGATATGGAAAGCTGTTTATGCCTATTGCATCTGAAATTAGAAAGTGTCTTAGAGGATATATCGTTTTTTCTTCCTCCAGCTAGACTTCTGGATTAAAAAATATCAAACTTCAATCTAATACATCAGAAAAAAACTAGTAGAAATCTTAACTATTTCTATTTCTTTGGTAAAACAACATTTTCTGTAATGTTATGGACTGGCCTGAAAAGCAATGTCGATTGAAACAACAAAACAGTTAAACTGTTTCTGTTGCTTCCAATAACGACTGGTTTCATAGGTTTTCGGAGAGTCGTAACTATTTTGTGAACGATAAAGTGTCTCTGTTGATATCTAAGCATACCGATGTTGTATAAATTCTATATGAAATATAGAAAGGTACTTTGACTCGGCTCTATTAAACTGCACTGGGCTTAACAACTGTCAGTCAGATATAAAGAAGTATCACTTTTAATTGTTAGTGGAATATATTTAAACAGAACTACATTTTTACATTTAAAGATAAAATATTTCATAAATATTGAAACCTCCTATAGATATTGCACTGAACACTACAGGTCTACTCTATCCACGCAAGCTCGGGTTATGAACATTGTTACCCAGACGCATCGTCATGCATATATCTCCTCTGTTCTATATATCGGAATCATACACATGTGTCAACTCTTGTTTTCTGAACACTGTGTTGTTTAGGTAAATGTTGACCTGGCTATTGGAGAGCAGTATACCGAAGACTACCTTGCTATAAACCCAAATGGGAAGGTTCCAGCAATATGTATTCGGAACGTTCAGGTGAGGAGACCGGTCAATTCTGCAGAAAAAAGTTAATTTATCATCAACTGTGATCGATAAGAGCCTGCAGAATCCAGCTGAAGACAGACCCTCTTTATGAATTACCCAGGGCTTTGTTTACACTAAATTATATATAGATATATGATAAGACAACTACCGCTTTTTTCCAAACTTTTTCAATATGCTGTAGGTATTTGTCCAGTGTTATTTTTATGAGTTTTATGAAAGTACTTCTTTTTGCCACTTAGTTAACACAATATATTTAGATGATCACAAATACACGTGTGAATGATACTGAATATTGTGTTATATTAAGGGTGTACCAGACTGTATTTTGTTCGAGTCGAACGTCATCATTGAATACTTGGACAAGGTATTCCCGGGGACGAGTCTGTTCCCAGATGATCCGTGGCAATGTACCTGTGTAAAGATGTGGCAGGAATGGGAAGAACAAATGGTGCAGGTAAACCATCCTGGACACGTGATAATTATTTCACGCACGTGTTACCTATGAATAATCTTACCTTACCTAGGAGTGCTAACTCACTTACTTAGTGTTGATGTTCTAACCCACGTGTCAACAATCTCAGCAATATGTAAAGTATTTCAAACACTTCTTAACTTTGTCGCCCAAGCTTCTAAACTATTTCACACACACTGGATTATGTAAAACTGTCGCTTAATGTATTATTTTCAATAACCAATTACTTCAGGACTTCATGGCCTTATACTACCAGAATATGTTTGGTTTCCTCACAAGACTACAGTTTGGGTCGATGAAGGCATTGGAAACGTCCCTAAACAACGCCATCTCCAAGAGCACGAAAGCAATATATATGAGGTACAAGCGAGGAACTTTTTCTTGATTTATGCAGAAGATATTTGAATGTGACGTCAAAATGCATTACTTATTGGTCAGTAACACAGTGTCATGTAAATGTCTGTACGAAATTGTTTCGTTAATCTCAACATTAAATTGATATCGTGTTCAAATCTGACGATCCAATCAGAATTATTACATATCATTTCCAAGAGAGGTTTTCGTCATGTTTTAGGTCATTTGAAGGCACGTATAAGACTGTCGCAGAACTGGAACAACATGGATTCGCCTGTTATAAAATGCTGTTTATGTTGGAAAAAGAGCTGGGTGGTAGACAGTTTCTGGTAAGACATAATATTTGTAACGTTGATCTTTAAGAATTTTTATCAATACTTAAATGTTAATATTTTCATTAATAGACTGTTTATATGTCTTGTAATAGCTTTACTCCATCTTCCAGACTGAAATCATTGCTAAGACCTCTCTAATGTTTTTACAGGTTGGCAATTCCTTAACGGCGGCTGATCTCGCCGTGTTTCCACGAGTAAGCATGTTTCCGAAAATCGGTCTTCCTATTCCAGAGGACATCTTTCCAAACGTAACTAAATACTTAAAGGATCTTGGGGCGAGAAAGTCATTTGCCATGAGTGAGGACGTGAATACACAACGGTTAGGTTACTTCGTCACATCTTTTGAGCGTGTGTTGGTGTGGATAAGTAACGTCAGGAGTGGTAGAACGTGCTCCCGGGTGAATGGAAGGACCGCTCTCTCGAGGTGAGGTTGTAGGGGTGTGGTGTATGGGTGTATATTTTCTTGTTTTATTAGTCTTTTATATTAGATGTTGTATTAATAATACTTGGTACCTGTAAGGTTTGCCAGGACTTTATCGATGACAGCAATGAAACATTCACCGATAAAACATGACTTTCAGATGTGTTAAATACTGATTTAATTTTATTGCATTTGAAAAGCTATGACATCATCTATAGAATCATTTGTCTTTTGTACCAACGTGTAGTGATTAGGGGACTCAAAGCTTGATCTTGTTCTCTCATCTGGCATTATATTTATAAAGATGTTAATAATATTGTCATTGCTTAATGTGTTATTTGTTTTCGTCAATGTAAAACACGACATGTAATATGTATACTGTAATACACCATATGTAATTTGTACAATGTAATACACGACATGTAATATGTATACTGTAATACACGATATGTAATTTGTACAATGTAATACACGATGTGTAATTTGTACAATGTAAAACACGATATGTAATTTGTACAATGTAATACACGATATGTAATTTGTACAATGTAAAACACGACTTGTAATATGTATACTGTAATACACTATATGTAATATGTACAATGTAATACACCATATGTAATATGTACAATGTAATACACGACAGCGTAAGATGTACAATGTTATACACGACATGTAATATGTACAATGTAATTCTGTGTCACACCTGTGCGGTACGAAAACATTACATTAATATGGTATCGTGATCTATATATTATTATACCACAGAGCATCAGTATTGTACAAAGATGTGTCGGAATACGATGAAGTATTAGACGAATCAATCAATGGTAGAACATTGACAGAAGTTTCCTTGTCGGCTGAGACCTGGCAGTGTACTCTACTGATGATGGAGAAGGTATTTATATCAACCTCAGTAATTGGTTAATTCTTCAAATAACAAGCCGCGTCTTACTTAAAGGCTTGGGAATGATGTTGATATATCCAGTCAACACATACTTTTAATGTTTCGCTGTACATATATCTCAAAATCGTAGAATCCATCCACATAAATACCTTATTCAAATGACAGTTACGTCATCCACATAAAATACAAATGTACATATAATTCGTTTTTATAAACATACCTCGCTCACATTATCTATCTTATTTCCGGAACATGTACTTCATCCACAATACACATATTATTATGGAAATAACATGAAAGCTCGTCCACTATACATACAAGGTATATCTCGTTAACATAGCACAATTTTTATAGAAATTACACCTTACATTAAATTATGATGCATAATGCCTTTTTAAGAAAACTTTACATGAATACCTTGGAACAAATCCAAGAATAAGATCAGATGTTTATAAAAGGTACGCGTTTTATACAAGCAAGTTAAAGGAATGTGATATTCTCAAAATAACTTTGTATAAAACGTACGGATGATATATTGGGATCCGTCCGTCCGTCCGCGGAAGTCTTCCGGATTACAGACTGAAAACCTTCCAGCCATAGTACACAATGTCTAGTGCTATAGTTTCGCCTTTTGCTATTGGCAGGATTTCATTTTTTGTATTTCTATGTTATATTGAATTCAAGACCCGGCCGAATTTTTGTACCATCATCTCGTCTTGGTGAAAAATGCCATGTTTTACGACTTCTTGGTATTTGTTTTCTTTTCAGGAGATGTCATTTCGGTTGGCACATGGTGACGTAATGGACTTGATAGGACGTTCAAGTGGCTGTGGAAGGCTTCAGTGTCTCAAAGAGGGCGAAGGAACAGTGTTCGGACAATTGTCCACTCTCGAGTATATCGACCGGACGGGTTCAGGACAAAGTAGGAAAATCATATTGGACATCCGTGACTTGTTGGATTAATTCAGTTATCAAAGAACATATATTTCATAGTGTACTTACGAAATGAAATTTCAGGCAGATTTTAATCGCCTATATGTAATAACAGTGATGTTATGATATAATAGTGGCTGAAAAAACTACCGCGTGTTGGCATCTCTTTTGTAATTAGATTGTATAACATAACATATAATTCGAGACAGAAGAGAAAGCGAAGCATTCGAGGTTTTAAAATTCTCCACATATTGTATTTTGTTTGTTTTAATTTGACGGGAACTGTATGATTTTATAGTGATATTAAAAGTATTCTGTAGATTTCGATCACTGAACTTATTCAAGTTTTCTACAATTAAGCATATCTTCTATCAGATTTAAATGACATAATTTTATCATACAGATTTTCTTCCGAACGATCCTTTGAAGAAGGCGGACGTTCAGTGTTGGCAGGCATGGGAAAAATCGTTGTACACATCTGATATATCACCCCTCATCGAAAACAAAATTCTGTCTCAGCTGTTGGTGACAAGGTATGTGAATCCTATCAAACAATAGAGAGTAATGGCCATCATCTCAAACCACTATATACTATGTCCTGTTGCGAGTGCTATAGTATATAAGACATATTGGGTGGTCGGGTGTTGCAGTGGTAACGCACTAGCTTTTCACCAAGCCGTCCGGGGTTCGATTCCGAAATGGACGTGAAAAGGTATGTGGTCACCTGCCCGACCATGGGGGTTTTCCCCGGGTACTCCGGTTTCCTCCCAAAGTAAGACTCTTCGTGCGCTTCCATCCGGAACAACAAGAGTTATTAACTTAAGTTGGAAAATCTTTCTTCACAATTGTTGCAAAATAAATAAACTTTACTATTATATATAGGACAGAGACTTTCTAGATATTAACCTCATGTAACAGTTCTTCCCAACACTATACTACAAGAAAATTGTTTTGCAATGTGCAGTCTCTAAATTTTCTTTTAGAATGATACATTTGTTAATATGAATTTAATTAATTAATATACAACATACGTGCGCTATTGTGCATTCGTTTATATGCGCTGTATATGTAACTGTTTTTATCTGATCTACAAAATAACAGTATCATCGACAACTTAAGTATCTTTATTTTTGCGATCATAGAAATTCAAGAAACACGAAAAAAGAGATATGGAAACGTCAAAAAGATGAGACATTACATTTGATGTTTTTGCTTTGTTAGGTACCAGGATAATATTGATTCGTTAATGCAGCTGGAGTTTTCTCCCAATCACGCCGACAGATTTCCAGTTATTGTCAAGTACTTCATATTAGGGTAAGTGTGCATACATAGTGTTGTTCTATCACTAAACGAGGCTTAATGATATGATAAAAGAAAGTCTGTATTTTTAATACGCGTATAATTGCCATATGACTTAATGATATGCCATTGTCTTTATAATGATTTCTGAATCTCTGTGTGACTTCCCCTCCAACACATTTGAAAAAAAAAAGAAAAAAATGTACAGTCACTTGCACATGTCGTTAGTACATATTACTTAGTACATATGTACTCGTTGTATCTGCCCACTCTCACATTCATTACTATTACAGACATCTTGTAACTTAATGTTGTATCAAAATTTACTGTCTGTCAGAATGAAAAATTCGGATCGTCACGTGACGGATATGTTGACCAAATATAGTTCGGAAGGGATCCCGTCTCAAGAGGAACAGCAGAAATCATGCGAGGGCCACCGGGAGAACATACTGGAACGATTGGATTATCTAGAGAGTACACTAAGGGTTTGTATAGTTTATCATACTGTAAACGTAGTTGATTTAGTGCAATAAGATTTTACCGCCTTATGAATTTGTACATCCATGCTAATTGCAGTATAAAACATACAGAAACTGCATTGAGTGCAGTAATATTTTAGGGCAGTACTTCTGGCTCGACAGGCTGCTGTTTAAAACAAGATTGCCGGTAACATGTACACGTTAACAATAGTTTTACTTTGGTCCTCCGATTGTTATACAACACATGTGATAATGTGCTCGATATACACCGGTCTTTAAATAGTTAGTTGTAGCTTTGATTGTTTCTCAGCGATACATAAGTTACCTAAATCCAATTTCAATATATATATCATATAGATACCATTATATGGTAGGCTGTTCAGGTCGCCTGGTGTCCGTGGCCGGTCCTTTAACAGTTCTTTGTTCTCGCTATATTCGGGAATACATGATGGAGCTTTCTCACATTCACGTGAAATCTCTCTTCGGTTGTTCCCTTTTAATTTTTGAACAAGTTGGAAAAACAAAATAGTTGAATCATGGCCATCTTTGATTTTGACAATGAAGGTTTGTCGTACATCTAGCTATCTATCGATATGTGGGCTCCAGTTACTGCCTTTTGCTGTTTTAATTCTTGGGCTGAAGAAAAATGGCCGACAGGCGATTATCTTGGATTTCATAGTGAAAGATTATTTTCGCCATTTCCTTTGATCAATTTTCAAGATATCCTAAGAACAGATAAAAGTCATACAATATGATGAGAGCCAAGATCCCTGGTTTTTATATTGTGCATTGTCCGTCATGGTGCGCCGTTTGCTGTTCAACACCTTTGCGGGTTTCAACCAAATTTGGCCTGAAACTTTGACAATACATGTACGTTGCTTCAAAACGCTACTCTTCCTTAATGCTTGAAAGGATTTAATTCAATTTTTGTCTGAAACATCACAAGGGGTTGGCAAATAATTCTATAATTCATAAAGTTGACTCAACAAGGGACTTGGGATTTCGTTTCAAAACGATACTCCTTCTTAAGGTCTCGGTAGATTTCAACCAAATGTGGTCTGAAACATTGTTGTAGGTGGGTCATCATTTCAGAAAATTGACTTGATCCCTTGGGACCTGGGAGTGGGGCCCCAAATGGGAAAATTTATCCAATGGTTTTTGCTTCTTCCTTAATGCTTGAAAGGATTTATGTAAAATGTGGTCTGAAATATCATCGTAGGAGTTCATCAGATTTGTCAAACTATCATCTGCAATTCTGTGGTTTGTCCATCCATGCATCGATTGTCAGATGACCGTTAAGGGTCATGGCCACCTTGTTATTATTGTTATTATTTTAGGATTTGGTTACTATGTTTTATTAGATGTCGACGCAGGGTCAGCAGACGTGTAATTCCGTTCATCAATTTCATAATAATGCTTGAATTTTGAATTGGAACCACTAACTACCATTTATAGTGTTGTGTCCAATAGGAGAGCTCTGAGTATGCATAGTATGGGTAGCAATAGAAACGCTGTCAAATGTTTGACATTATGCATTAACAACCTGTATGTACTTATTTTCATGTTGGTTTCAGACACGCGTGTACCTGGTTGGGGATGAGGTGACGCTGGCAGATATGTGTGTGTTCTGTAGACTTCAACAGCTGACTTTCCTAGACATAGACATTTTACCTGGCAGATATCCGTCCGTCTCTAAATGGATAGCAAAATTGACAGAAAGGCCGGGCTTTTTCGCCATTGCTGCTTCTGCCAAATTACCTCTTCAGCTGAAATAAGATCAGTTCAAACCTTTGTTATATATCGGGGACTGGAGTAACCGCCCTGTACCATGCTAATGATGTGCTTACTTGATAAATGATCCTATATCAAAATACATTATATTGCTTTGCCAGCTAAATGAGGTGCTACTTATATTCAAGTTGTGTTCACAAGAAAACATAAAATGTGAAGAAAATTGTTACATAAGCTGCCCTACCAATGTAACGACTCTCAGACTGGGTAAATGAATGAGTGTATGTGATAATGGATCAAAGAAAATATGTCGAAGAAAATCATTTTATATATCTAATTGTGCATGTGCTGGTAATTCTTGAGATTTTGTTTGTACGATATGAAGCTGAACGTGATTGTAGCTTGTTGTTTGTCTTATTCTTGTTTGAGAACGTGACATTACGTACTTGGATTGATCAATATGTATATGGTGCGTATCGTCAATGAAGCAGCAGACACTTACCTTTACATTCTGTTGTTCATAACTATCTCCTGTTTCATCGAATTTGATTTTTAGAATGCTCCATATATTTTCTTTGTCGTTTCTGAACAGTCTAGATAACACACAATTGTACTGATTTATATAGATGACTCAATCACAAACACACACAACTCACAAAAAATGTCTACATTTAACAGCTGTACTTATGAACTTTGTGCTAATTTAAAAGACCTTCAATTAAAGCGTTATTACTTTGTTGTGAACTAATCCCAACAAATCATCAAATGTGTAAAATCATTGTCAGAATGTCGTAAACATTCAATAACTCGCAGATCATCGTGTTACAACTTTCTTCAGTACTTAGCTTATGGCTTGTATATATAGTCATGTAAAGATTCCTACACCATGATATGATATTAAAAATTAGAAATTAACCTGGCGAGATAAGCATCTCTTACAGATCAGCTGACATTCTATTGGCCGTCACAAGCATGTGAGTAAATGTGTAAATAATGATCTTTGCTCGACATTCCAAACACTTGAACCTAATCCTGTGAACTTGATCCCATTGTTTAGCAGAAATGGCAAGGAAAACTTACAGAAAATAAGTAAAATACAAAATGGAAATACCCCATCACTTTTGATTGTGTTAAGGCTACTAGAAAATGTGGTTGTCAATCGAGTCATTGTGAACTTTTGTGCACATCAAAATAAGTCATAATAACAGTTAACAGAAGGCTCTGAGAGCCAGCCGTGACACCGATGCGGCACTGGAAAACATCTGTCAATGAAGACAATATGCAGGCATTCTTATCTCTTTATCTAACAACCTTACAGAAAGATTAATCAGAGCACTGTTGCTTGTATCTTACAAAATTTGTTGAAACATGTAATGGATTATGTAATTATAAACTAGCAGTTTAGTGTTTTTCTTCCTGATTATTATCTTATCTCTATCCAATGGTGGATGAAGTGTATCATTATTTTCTTATCTCTATCCAATGGTGGATGAAGTGTATCATTATGTTGGCTAGTGTGTTGAATTAGCACTACTACAAGACTGACCAAAGAACAGACAATAACGACAAATGCTATTTGAAAGCAGATCACTATAACTGGTGTAACCTCTACATTCATTTATTGTTTGTGAATCAAACAATAATATATACACAAAACAAAATTTGATGAAGACAAAATAAATACATATTTTATACTCTGATGAACATTAAGTGCACATGCAGTAGAAATGATACATAATGCCTCTTCTGGAGTGATTTGTATACTATGTATATTACTTAGTGTACTCCGTTCAATCCCATTACTCAATACTAAATTAGGGGATTAAGAAGTACAATCTATGTCTTCTAACAGTTACTTGAATGGTAAAAAAGTCAAATGTATATGAAATAAAATGATTGTGTCAGCTCTGCGGAGTTGTCTGCTCTTTGACTTCATTTGCTTCATTTTGTTTTGCTTTTTCCATTTGTTCTAATGCTGCCTTTTCAGCTGCCTTCATTCTCTCCTGGTAGTTCTGTGCAAATGTTGGCATCAGTCTCTGGTTGTAGGATACATATCTGTCAGTGCAGTTTTCTACACAACTTTTCTGTAACAAGAGAAATGGAACAACATTTAAACATATGATACCATAAGAATGGGAAAAATAACTAAAAAACATTTGGTTATGTGCTTTCTAAAAGCTTCTCTTGGAACAACAAAACAGAAATGTATTATATTATATGATGATAAGTGAATCTACTCCAACTACTGCGGTTCTGATGGTTTTAATTGTTGCTGATTACAAAATTTAATATTACATTACCTTTCACAAAGATGTATGACAAATTGTTTCATCACCTGAAGATCTCGATACAAATGAAATACCTATTTGGCGTTCTGCAGCCACTATGTGATAAGATAATTTTTTGCAGGAAGACACCTTCACGTTCTTTTGAGATGAAAATGTGCTGTGACAATTTGTGGACTGTCAGTCAGTTGCTTGATAAAGGAAGTACGGTACATGTAGACATATTAAGAAAAACCTCACAAAATGCAGTTTTCAATGACTGTTTACATTAAAAATATTTTCTGAAAATAGAATTTAATTAGTTAGACCTGAAATACTAGGTTAGTATAAAAACATTAAATCTATTATTAGGTTAAATTTTAACAAGTTAAACCCGATGTTGTTAAGCTGGAATTTGACAGGTTAAAACCTGACATTATTAAACTAGTATGTAACTAGTTAAACCTGATATTATTAAGCTATTATGTAACCACTTAAACCTGATATTATTTGACTAGTACTTAACCAATATGGTTAAAGTTAGTATTATTTTTCGAGTATTTACCTAGTTAAACCTTGTATTATTAGATTAGTGTTTAACTAGTTAAACCTGATATCATAATTCAAGTATTTAACTAGTTAAAGTTTATACTGTTAGTCTAGTATGTAACCAGTTAAATCAAATATTATTAAACTAGTGCATAACTAGTTAAACCTGAAATGATAATTCTAGTATATAATTAGTTAACCCTGATATTATTAGATCAGTATTTAACTAGTTAAACCTGATATTATAAGACTAAGTATTTAACTAGTTAACATGATATAATTAGATTAGTATTCAACTAGTTAAACCTGCTATTATTAGACTAGTATTTAACTTATTAAACCTGATATTATAAGACTAACTATTTAACTTGTTTAACCTGATATCATTAGACTAGTATTTAACTAGTTAAACCTGATATTATTAGAATAAAATTTAACAAGTTAAATATAATTTCACTACAATTATGGTAACTTACAAGTAATTAGTTAATGATCAGTAAAACTTTAAACAGTACCGTATGATGCAGTTAAAAACCTGTCAAACACTTATATTTCACACATGATTTAAATGAATGATACCGAGACTGATACCAATTGTATGGTGCTACATGTATGAGACTGATATCAATTGTATGGTGCTACATGTATGAGACTGATATCAACTGTACTGTAATGTGTATGAGATGGATATCTACTGTACTGAGCTACTTGTATGAGACATATTGTAATAGCCAACACATTGTACATTACATTAATGACAGAATTACCTCCTGTGGTGATAGTCTATTGTCATGTTGTAGAACTGCACAGCTCCAAAAGCACCTCTCTGTCAAGTTGTTATACAACATCATGTATTCTCTCATCTGTAAGTAAGTTAATTTATAAGCATTAAAGGGCTGGCAGCTCATAGGTTTCACTTTATTGACAAATTTCCTATTGTACATGAATCTTGTATTAGGCTTAACTGTGTTACTTCCATTCCTTATATTTTCCTTGCATTGTATAGCATGTCTGTTGATAGCATTGCTATTCTGGAAAAAAGCTTTAAGCATCACACTTTGAAGTGAAATTGATAAACCTCTGGCATATACAGATACTCATTTATAATTTGATAATAGGATTCAGTTTTCGATTATAGTTTGTAGCTGAAAAGAGAAAATCAATTTCAAAAAACACAGAAGTGGAAATAATACTGTAGGCCTTCTATCTATTGCATTTAAAGGGTAAGAAAGAGCAAATGTTTTTATTTGATGTGATATTTATCTTCAGCTACATTAAAGATTTCTGTTATCACCAGTGTGCAATCTTTTCATATTCTCTATGCTTTATATAAATCACTTTACAGCATTGGCTACCAAGTTTGCACAAATATTCATACATGTTCATGTATTTTCCAACCAACATAAAAGTTGTCAAAGTTAATAATATTGTAACCAAGTAGGCTGAGGTTGGCATGGAAAACAGTGTCATCTTCTCTGACTATTGGAAAAATTAATTGCCCCCTCCCTTAGTTCATGCACATCATATAAATATACATTTAATGACATTTGTATCAGAGAGACTTGAAACTTGTTACAGCTACAATCCAGCGTACTTCAACCTATTCGGATATATAATGCATCATACAACATTTTGGCGGACAATTTGTACTATTCAGCAAATATAACACTCTATAAACAAGGGATCTTGGTGCTCATCATTAGTTCTTTATGAGTTTGATCTCTTCCCTTAAGTAGGGGTTTAAGGAATTCAACATATTAAATATGAGAATGATCCATCCTGTACCACTAAAGAAATTGTGACAATAAGCTTTAACTGTCAAAACCAAAGATGGCCTCCTATCAGCCATTTTGTTTTTCCAATCTGTCCACAATGAAGAATATGCATGGATCATGGGGAATCTACATATGAAATTTCAGATATATCAATTTAGAAATTCTCTATACTTAACCATAAATGGTCACTGGCCTGCCAATTTATTATCTGGCCTTATTGTGCTGACTGCAATTTATTTCCCAAACACTGCTTTACACTGTCCTGAAATCTAGGCATAAAGAATAATTATAGGTTTCAAGTGGCTTGTCATAAGAATATTCACAAAACTATGATAATCTACAGGTTGGGAAAATCCTGAGGATGGGCTTAGAGCCTAATGTGTCCACTCTTTTTTTTCCTCTGAACTTGGATACACATGACTATAGTTAAGTCTTCAATTTTTTCAGAAATAACTGGTCAAAATAACTTATTCTCTTTCTCGGGCTGAAATATTTATCTGATTTGCTACATTTGTGAACGAAGATTTCGAAAATATTGGGTCTACTTTTACACAAAGTGATACAGCTTCCTCTTTGATATTGATATATAAAACCAAACCACAAATCAATCTTGCCATTTATAACAATGAAACATTTTCTCGAAAAAACTTATGGTGGGGGGAGGGGGGTTTAGTGCATTCACTTACATCTGTACATGATAATAAATCATATGTATTATCGACTATCATTTAGAATCTAATTTGGTCTTGGGTCAAAAACACAAGATTTCTCTCTCTCTCTCTCTCTCTTTACATAATATAAAAATGGTGAAAGCTTTATAGATTGTATGCGAGTGTCGCTTTATATATGTTATGCCAGGACTGTGCAATATCTGGTAGCAGATTCTTCTTGAGATTATGTGCTATGTTAAGTCCGTGCAGGGACGAATGGTATGATAAAGAGGAAAGACATATTTACATTTATAGACATGCGAAGTTCAAATAAATGTACATTTGATAGATTCATTAACAAAAGAACATAATAAACCATTACATTTTGCATACTCAGGGCCATTGCCTCTTGCTGGGCCATTGCCATTTGTTGTTTATGGGACATGTCTCTGTTAGTTGTTCAACTTCATCACTAAACCTGGCCGTGTTAATCAATATCATCAATTATATATACGATAATGCCTTGACTTCAAAACACATTGAAGACTACGATATCATTTTTAGTTGAAACTAAATTTAAAAGCCAATCGGATGGCGGAATCTTAAATCCGGACACAGATGTGAAGTTTTCGAAAAAAAAAAGCAAACAAACAAATACCAACATGACAATATAATAATAATCCAAACTTAAATTCAGTGAAAGTCAGGCAAAATATGCGACTCCTGAAAAAGGACAAGGATATTAAGACATGAACAACCGCCATGTATAACTTGGTCAATCCAGAGACGTATATAACACACGTATATATTATATATGTCTCTGATCTAACTAAGTAATGACATGTCAGGAACCATTATGCAAACTAGCGAGCATCAAACACATCTAGCTTCACATCGCAGAGAGCGATAGTGAGTGTAACCCCTGGAGTATCGAGGATGGTTTAAGGGGTGCAGAGAGTAACAGTTAGCGGAAACCTTGGAGTTTTCTAGGAAAACTGATATGCGAAAGTTTTCATAAATACTCCCACTAGGCAGAGACATATATAACATACGTCTCTGCACTAGGCTACCACTCCTACTACGTGTAAAAGTCATTTTAGTGTAACAGAAGTCACTATTCATTTTAATGCCTCCGCTATGATTCGAACCCGGGACCATTAATTAGGTCATGAATGCCGGAATTGAATGTTCTTCAATATATCTTAATTTAATTAATTTTAATTATTTTATCCGACTTTCAATTTTATTTCCTCGTTTCTTTTAAGAATTCAAATAAATTTTCTCGTTCTCGTTATTTGCTTTGGCAGAACCTGAGACTGATGACCAACATTTTATTCACAACATATATATGAGTGTCGGTAAATATAGAATCACAAATGATGCAGTATTCAAAATATCTAAATATTCAAGTATCTATATATTAAACTACTTTCAGTTGGTATCCATGGACATATGAATGCTATTTGAAAGTTTTCCAATGCCTACATATAGCATTTTCATTTTCCATCTTGTTATCAGAGAAGGAATGACCTATCTATTCGTGATGAAAAATCATATATCTATTCTTCGAAATTATTATGTGTTCCGGATCATATTTCTTGTTCAATCCATGTCCTGTCATATGAATTTAGCTGATTTTATTTGTTTGGGTCAACGGCTTGTGTACTGTCCTGAATGTGTCTGTTCTTGGGAGACTGCGAGATGTGTACGGAAGCTAATTGGTAAATTTTACTATATTTTGCCAAGTAATTTGCCAAGTGAATTCATTCAGATGTCATGAAATATTTTCATTTTTTTTCAATAAGGAACCAAAATACATTTCATATCTAAAAAAAAAAAAAAAAAATCGGATTTATGTACTTCACTCCGGTTTTATACATACAATATCCGTATAATTCTGTGTCGGTGACGTCAGAATCGACAACTTGTCAGGGACACACAGACAGACAGGTAGCAGAAAGTAAATGTCCCGGAGGAATTTACTACGAAAGGTCTGTTATCTGGTTACAGTTTTATGGTTGTCAAGGAACTATAACAATTGCATAAGCACTGTAAGGGAAATTTTTACAACGTTCCTTTTTTAGACCAGCGAACACAATGATTGGCAAAAATGCAATGTTGACACGACTGCACGTTGCAAACATGCCCACGTCATGTGCAGTGATCATCAGCTGTTCATATTTGCAGTCGTGTTGCTGTTGGCATTGATGCTATTTTAACGTTTGTTGCGAATTGACAGAAATAATTTCTGCATGCATGTTCAATGACTTCTTAGTTTGTTTTTTTAGGAAACGTCGCTTTCGCTTTGCATGTCAACAATCCTTGGAATATTAATAAAATATTTGTCATGTTTCAGATATATTTAACTCCTGACTGTAATATCTTTGGCACATCAGTTTTGGATCCCATTAAGAATCGTATTTCGACAACTATGCTATAGCTACGTCGGTGAATTGCCACCATATATGCATACAATTAATGTATCGAAATGTACTGGTTATTTACAAAACATGTCAAAATTGTCAAATGATTTAAACAATATTGAGCACAATTCATCATTAAGTAAAATGACAATAATGAGATCCCTCTGTCTTTAGTTGTAATTAACCAAAGCTTAAGACCAGGGGGAGAAATAGTTTGTTAATAACAGATGGTAATATGCCATCTTATGCAGATTGAATACATTTATTATTTCATTGAGCCATATTGATCACATGAATAGCATTAAACAAATAACAAATTTTATGTTAGCATAGGAATATGTACTTGAAGGAGCTGTCAGAATTTTCTTAGATGTAAGTGCAAAGTGTGTCAACTCGTACATATACAAGAGTTTTGAGATCCCCACTTAAAATTACACTGAAGTAATGTTGCTGACACAGCATAGCGGTTTCTACATCCCTGCTGTTGCTACTATTACAAACTTGGACGTGAAGTAGCTTTTCTGAATCACAATTTGATCTACCAAGGTAACTGGCAGTTACTGTGCCTTTGTTTTTGTAATGTTAACCTTGTTGTGACGTCTCCTTTCTTAGTTTTCAGATGATTTCTTTTCAAATTTTCAGGCTTTGTAATTATGATAAGAAATTGTGTTTCCTGAACAGCAGTTCTATTAAGTAATTTTTGAATGAGTTCTGGCTCTTGAATCATTTTTAGACTGTCCATACTTCAGAGATTTCTTTTGTTTTCAGCCTATTTCTCTGTAACTGGAAATCTTTGGTGTCATGAAATATTTGTTTGCCTGTTAAAACCGTTGGCCTATAAATTCATCTAATATCATGGACATAACATTTGATTTGCATCACCATCCTCCACTATATAGGTCATCTGTTTCATCATGGTAGTGCAAATGCGCATTAAACAACCAGAAACCAATCTGTAATATACGCTTCTAACATATGTTGTAAAACATATATACCAACGTTCTCGTAATAAGAGATAAAATCGCTGTAGTTTCAATGTCTTGGATGTAACATTATGACATGATTTACACAAGCACTAAATGATTCTATTTCTTCAAAACATGTTCAGAGGTTTTTCACTACATTCACTATTATCAGGACACCAACCACTTCTGTGAGTATATATACCACCACAAGGCAGAAATGATACACAAGTTAATGTCATTCTAAGTATATTGTTGGATGTAACATTTCGGACATGCAATTTTATGTCCAGGTGCTAATGTTTTCAAAATGTTGTAAATTAATGTACATTTCTGAAAACAAAAGTACATTTCATCAATCTTTTCATTCAGAATCCATTCACCTTGATGCATAACATTGAACAGATATGTTAACATTTATTTTTGCTTGTGAAAACACCTCCTCTCGACTATGGACATCAAACAATGGCGTGGTATCCATATCAAATGCAACTTAAAATAAAATGTTTTGGTAGTTATATCCTTGTTTGAGGAACTTTCAATTGTTATAATTGATGGTTCATTCAGAAAACAAGATTTGGAGATGTATTCTAAAGGAGCAAACATAACAAATATTTTGTGACACCAAAGACTTGCTCATAACTTGGTATGGATATACAAATTTAGTACTGATTTCCTCTTGATATTTCTCACTCCATATTATGATTTCTAATGTTTAACTTGTACTCATTTCAATACTTCTAATGAGGAATATTTATTTTGGCATGAAACTGATATATACTGTTCTTTCCTGCAGTATTCTTGTGGTTTTTTTTCTTCTGCAAGTGTTGAATGTTACAACCACTGAAATCATTTAATATGAGCACTCACTTTGTTTATATGTTACAGCTATAAAAAAAAGCTCCAAAACACACAACCATCCAAACCAATGTCTAGACGAAACTACTTCAGTCTAAATCTTTTGAAATGTGTATCACACGTGGTTACCAGGGTTTCTGACTTTCAAAAATCTGCATTTTGATTTATTAAAAGAACACTTGAGATTGATATAATTTTACTCTACATCATGTGTGATTTGAGTCCCTGGATTGGCACATTCATAAAATTTGAGATTCCCAGGAAAAAACCTTGGTTGCCTTCATCAGACCATTAGTCATAGCTACAGACTAATACAGATTTATATTTAAGACTATATCTAAGATCCTTTATCAGAAAGATAAATGCAGGCTATGGAAATAGTGTCTAAAATAAACCATAATCAAACGCTAATTACACTTCAACATTGTAGTTGTAACACTTATGCTATCAAGATTCATGATGAAGAACCCAAAATATAATAAAATCACTTCACAATGCAATTGTCAAAAGAAAGGTTTTCCATTAAGGTCATTTAAGATTTTAGACTATGGAAACTTATATGCGAAGTTTTTATTGTATTATTATATTAGTTAGGCCAAATTGAACAACATTTCAGGCAATTATTTACCAGTTAAGCTACAATCCTGAGAATAGAATATAGGTTAGTGATACAATGATTGGCTCAATGTGAACTTTTTAATTCCTACTTGATCCACTGCAGAAATTCACTCCTTATTAGCCCACCATCATCAGATGGTGGGCTATTCAAATCGCTCTGCGTCTGTGGTCCGTCCATCCATAAACAATTATTGTAATCGCTATTTCTTGAGAAGTGTTAGATGAATCTTTCTCAAATCGCATATGTAGGTTCCCCTTGGTCCCTAGTTGTGCTCGCTTGATTTTGGGACTGATGAAAAAAATATTATGGCAGACAGGCAACCATCTTGGATTTTTTCAATGAAGTTTGTTGTCACTATTTCTTGAAAAAATGAGGGATGGATATCTCTCAAATTTCATATGTAAGTTCCCCTTTGTACCTAGTTGTGCCAATTAAATTTTGGGTATGATCAGAAAAACAAGTGGACTGACATGTGGCCATCTTGGATTTTCACTTTAAAAGTTTGTTATTGCTATTTCTTGAGAAGTACTTGATGGATCTTTCTTAAATTCCATATGTAGGCCCCCATTGGTCCCTAGTTGTGTCAATTTGATTTTTGGACTAATCAGAAAAACAAGATGACTGACTGACAGACATCATAGATTTTGAATTTGAAAGTTTGTTATTGCTATTTCTTGAGAACTACAGCATAGATCTTTCTCAGGTTTCATGTGTATGCTTTCCTTGATCCCTAGTTGTGTCTGTTTGATTTTGGTACTGTAAAGGAAAAAACAAAATGGCTGACAAGTGCCATATTGGATTTTGACTTTAAAAGTTTGTTATTACAATTTCTTGAGGACTACGCTATAACATCTTTCTCAAATTTCATGTCTAGGTTCCTTTAGGTGCCTAGTTGTGCAAAGGAATGTTCAAATGTACTATCATAAAAAGCAAAAACAGAGAAGAGAAAAGATTGAAAAAGATCTAATTTTCAAAGAGCATATAAAGATCAAACAATGTTTGGAACCAAGATCTCTCTGGGATCTCTTGTTTTTTTTACCTGAATAATATATTTAAGTCTTCTTTAGAAACTTTAATTTTTTTATTTACACTTATTTTTTTTTCATTTTAGTCTGTTAAAACAACATACAGTGTGACCAATGGCTGACCAGAGTACAGTGCCAAATGGAGGTGGAGACCCAATACAGGATGACACATTTGAGATGGACCTGAAAGAAATCCTGGAAGATGGTCCGAACCTTAATGACATGAGCAACACTGTCCAGAGTGGCTCACCTAAAAAAATTATCAGTAGGTCTTACAGTGGGAGCTCTATGTCTGCTGCTAGCTTTGGATCCACTGAACCACGACTAACTCGGTCATTTACTATGCCTCCTGGTGTGTTCTTCTCACTTTTATTTACACTCTATAAATTAAGAATGATCTTTTGCCAACAGATAGTATATAGGTACCACACTAACAGATCTTAAAGTAAAAGAATTTCAGTTAATAAAATATCAGGGGAAAAAATGAAAGTTTTCTAGATCCGCTGTTAAGAAATTAGAAGCTATGCATATAATTTAGAATCAGGTGTGACATTTTTATAGAAAATAGGTAAAGAAATATACATATTTATTTTATTAAGACAGTGAAATGTGTAACTGTTTTAACTTTCAATACTTTGTTATGGAATTCAATTTAAATGTATTGGAAAATATCAGAATCTTCATTTGGATGGTCTCTTTATTTACAGTTATAAATCATAAGTCTTGATGATCATCAGGAGCTGAACATAGCCAAGAGTGCGTTGTTCTAGTAATGTAGTATATAAGGATTAGAGCTGAACATAGCCAAGAGTGTGTTGTTCTAGTAATGTAGTATATAAGGATTAGAGCTGAACATAGCCAAGAGTGCGTTGTTCTAGTAATGTAGTATATAAGGATTAAACTTCTAAAACTCATAATGTATGAGAATTCATAGGTGAATTAATCAAAATTCACAATATACAAATTAATTTATTATTTGTAAATTTGTCATCAGATATATCTTAAATACATTTGTGGTGACTACATATTTAAGTGAGCTGCCATTATTGCAACATGTTGTTTGCTTGGTTTTGCAATTTATTATTTTATTTCTTACAGTATGTAGACATATTAATGGTGAAATTACGTTCATTCATTTTATCTGTTTTTGTTTGAGTTTGCAAATTTGCAGTTCGATTTGATTATACCTGGTTTATCTATAGTCTTTTCATCACTGCATAAAAATTTCTCAATTTCTTAAATTTAGAGATAATATACATCAGAGACAGTTATAATTTTAATCAACAAATATGTCGCAATATTTTTAAATTATTAAATATTATATAAGTATATTTTACACAGAGGAGAGGTAAATGACAGGTAGAACAAGTGTGCCCTCTGATTTTCTTTTGTATTGACATAACTTTTGAGCATAGTCTTATCAGTATTCAGTTCCTATACTACCCATCTCCCTGTAATAGTCAGTGTCTTTGTCTTCATTCTCTGTTAGTTAGGTAGTTACTAGTTTCCCGTCTCGGTGTCCCCTCTCCCTGCTGGGTATCATTTCACACACCAGCGTCAGTGTTCTGGCAACATGTCCATTCTCTGTGACCATCTTTGGTCTATGTATACTAGTATCTAGATGACCCCTCACCCACACACATGCTTATCAGCCCCACCATTGATTAATTATAAGTAAAGAAGGGATAGTAATATTTCTTCGTCTGACTGCAAAGTTTAGGGAAAACCACCTAATATTAATGTATATATACTCAAGGGATAAAGAAATGCAGCATTAACTTTGAAGATGATTTTTGACAAGATGTCGAGTGTAATGTTCAATATTTTAAAGTGAGAATGAAGATTAATCCATACATAACAAACTTCAAAATTAACGATTTGTATCTGGTAAGTGGTTTAGGAATAATTGAAGGGAGTTGAAAGAGAACTCTGTAATCTGAAATTGAAATAGATTGATGGTGGGAGATGGCTAGTCAACGCCAGGTATGTCCCCTATTGGTTCCTCCACAGCCCTGATTCTCCTTGGCATGGAGTTCATCATGAGTGAGTTTATCCTCCTCATTGGGGTGTTGTCCCTTTCTTCCAAGAGGGCTGCTCCCAGTTGGGCTAGAGTAACAGGGGGAGGCTGACGTCGTCGTACCTGTCTATCCAGCTGGTCCCACAAGTGCTCAATAGGGGATAGGGACTGGGGATTGGGACTGTATGGCAGCCAGTGGGCAGATATAGTTGTTAGAGAGAAAGTCGTGACAGACAAATGACTTCCAGGCAGCCATTTTGGATTTGGCAGGTAAAGATTATCATCACTATTTCTGCAAAGGAATGTTCAAATGTCTTATCGTTAAGAGCAAAAACAGAGAAAAGAAGGGAAAAGATCCAACTTTCAAAGAGCATATAAAGATCAAATAATGATGGGCGCCAAGATCCCTTTGGGATCTCTTGTCATTGTTTTTGAACAATGCAATCACATGATATTGCAAATTATGTCGCCCTGCGTTTCTTTATCCCTAAAGTATCTATATATATATATACAAAATTTAAACACATGATAGGATCTTTGGTCACTAGTCAAATTCACTGAATGAAAGATCACAACTTTGATCATCTTTGAACTAAACAGCATGTCTACGATAAATCACAAGCTCTGCATGAAAGTTTGTATCTACCAGTATTTATAGTTTGGTAGTTATCACTCAAGGGATCAAAGGACATAGGTAGCAGTAAACCATTTTGAGGGTAAGGGGCTAAGTTCATATCTTTAAACATCTAATTAGAATTGCATTTTGGTGTCCATTCCTAGCAGCTTAAAGTAAAGATCACATTTGACCATGTTTGAAATAAAGATTGTGTACAGAATATGTAGCTGATGTACCTTTTAACAGCTCTAATAAAAAATACAAAGATCAAATAATAGGTTTTATACGTTCGTGTGCCACTTCTCACATTATAGTTTTGTTTGCTTTCACTTTGTATCAATTTTTGACTACAACAGATCTGTTGTCTATCTTTTGACTTATCCTATTTTGCTGTATATCATAAAGTTGCTGCCAGTCTTAGTATTACATGTACCTTCCTTAGATCAGAACATAACCTATTACCCCCTCTAATCGTACTGTAAACTTTCTGTTTAAACCATCAGAGAGCTAAAGTACCCTTTCTGATGACATCATCCAAGGTCAAAAGTTAAAAGTCACACAAATATAAAGTCTTTAACCAAGAGTGAACTTTTCAAAAAATATTTTAAGCTCAGATGAATAATTGAAATGTCTAGCTCTTTAGGAATCTTCAGCAGTAAATGTTTTCATGACATGTTTTTTTTATAGTTAGTCACACAAATATAGCACCTGTTACAATGGCATGCTAATTGTCTACATTGTATAAAATCATAGGGGTTGCTATCATTGTTCAGAGAGTGACAGACTACTGAGAGATTCATACCGGTATGTTCACAGCCTGTTGCCAATAACTATTTGAGCATATATTATAGAAATACATGTATTAGCTTAGAACACCTTAATATGTATTTATATTAGTCAACAAAAATGATAATAGAGTATATTTCAAATGTATTTTTAATGGTATGTAGGCACCTTTTAACAGACCTTGGAATGATTATCAGCTAAAATTCAGCACTATGTCATTGTTTGACTATTGATTTTCACAATTATTTTTACACCACCTCTGATCTCTCATGTAGAACACATAGACATTTAGATAGGCTCAATCTCCTGCTTTATTATCAACTATCACACGACAAATATTAACTTTGTGCTGTGTATAATTTATCATTTTTTTTGGACTACTAATCCAATAAACATAAGATGAAAATCCTTCAAATTATATTCATTTATAAGTTGGAGAAACAACAGCCCTATCACAGGACTGATGTTCACGTCTACCTATTATGATTCTGTGTCACTTCATCCATTGTTTTATCAATTGATTTAAAAACCTGAAGTTCCTATCTTTCAATATGAAAAAATGCAATGATTCAGGCATGAAAAGTGTTCATGCTTTTGAAATTTAAGAACTTTTTGATAATCACTTTATGATAATTATATAACTTCTGGTACAGATTTGGCTGTTTGTACATAGATTTGTTCTTATATGTTTATGCATAAAATTCTTATAGAGACTCTCACTTTATTGCATATATTATCCATAGCAATTACACTTGAGTCAATTTTGATTGTGTAATATTGTGTTGTTTTTACCTCACAGCCACAAGCAATGTTCCATTATCAAGTCAAACCCCAGCCCAAAGTAATGGCGACTTTATTCCCAAGACGGTTTCAGCAGCTCAATCCAAACTGGAGTCTATACGACATTGGAGTGTTAACACTTTCAAGTGCACAAAGCAGTACCTCGCTGAGAGATTAGGGAAGGGTTCCAAGACTGTAGATCTGGAACTTGAGACACAAATAGAAGTTCTTAGAGACATGCAGCGCAAATACGCAAATATTTTACGACTGGCACGTGCCCTTACCAACCACTTCTATCAAGTTGTACAGACCCAACGTGCACTGGGGGAGGCATTTGGAGAGCAAGGACAGAGAAGTCCTGAACTACAAGAGGAATTCTCTTACAACTGTGAAACACAGCGTGCTCTTGTAAAAAATGGAGAAACACTGCTAGGTTTGTACTCTGTAGCAGTTTTCTGTGGATAGTTTTAATCATGCAGTGGGATACAGCCAATTTTCCTCATTAATTTTGTTTGTCTTTCTTATGGGATCCGTTTCTAAATCAAAGGTCTCATTTGACAACTTCTGCAAATTCTTCATATAATTATACTTTTGATCATTGGGAGTAGGGGCATCTTTGTCTTGCAGACATTTTTCTGGTTATTATAAATCCAATGATGAGTATAACAATATCTACTAAATGTATAAACAACCTTGCACTTAAGAGGGAATTCTTTTGATTTCATACATTAAAATGTGATTTTACATTACATATATAAGATGCTCAAAATTTTTCTGCCTGATTTTGGTTGGACTTTCATATATTGTTAGAATTTGCATTATTCTTCTGTACAGATATTTCAATGTATTGGATATTTTGCTGTTTGTAAATGGTTTTAGAAAATATAGTACATGAATATGAAAGGAGTATTTCGTAAACACAAAAATATTTTGTTCTAAAAATCTCAATCAAAATGGTGTTAACTCTCATTATATTGTTTATTAACATATATGTTAGAGATGTTATGGTATGATTTGATGGAGTCAAATTATGATATGCTATTTATGTTGTAGGTGCCATGAACTTCTTTACATCGAGTGTCAACACGTTGTGTAATAAGACCATGGAAGATTCACTGATGACTGTCCGACATTATGAACATGCAAGGTGAGACCAGTTAAAACTACAGAAAAAATTCAATGTCAATAAATTGGAAATCATAGTTATATAAATGAATATTTTCAAGATAATAGATTGTAAATTGATAACTAGGTGAAAATTAAAGAGAATTGCAAACAATAGATTATATCATCATTATTTGTGGTTACATGTTCTGAATTATTTGTCCACTTCACACATTAGGTGATACTTATCAGAAACAGACACATTAAGTAATGTTTTTATTTTGCAACCTTTGATTCAGGTTAGAGTATGATGCATACAGGAATGATCTTGAAGTACTTCAGCTGGGTCCAAGAGATGGGGGCACTGTGGCCAAGATAGAAGAGTCCAAACGCAAGTTTGAGGACTACAAAGTAAAATTTGAACAACTGAGGGCAGATGTTACTATCAAACTGAAATTCCTAGATGAGAATAGGGTATGTTTATGGATGTATTGTGACTTTTGTCATGGTAACCACCTGCGCTTAACTAAGTGTTATTAAGAAAGGTTTTTGTTTTCCCTTATGCATACTGTGTTTTTTTTTATATACCTGGTCTTTGATGTGTCATTTGATTTTGTATTGTGTGAACATAAAATAGTATAAGTTAGTCATCGCAGCTTAAATCCCCATGTCAGATTTAAAACTCATTCAAACAGTGAATGAAAATTTGTATTCATTCTAACCACATATTGTGACAATTTTTTATGTGGGAGTGACAGGTTTATCTACTCCTATTTGTAGTGCTGTTGTTGATGTAGGTAATACTACTTTTGCCATTGATTTAATGGTATACAATTCTGTGGGATTAACTGGTATCTTGATACAGTTCCATTTGATGATGGGATTATTTTTAGAATTGATATTACCAAGGTTAAACCAGAAGTTCCTGCATAAAATATTGTGTGGTTGTTGATGAGTATTCTGAATTTAGTGAATTGCTTTATCAAAAGAAGATTGACTGCTGTTGGAAAGTCACCCTGCAACGGAACAGCCATATATTGTTCAATTTGATAGTGCTAATGTTTCTGCTTTTTTTCCCCATGTAAAATGTGATGAATGGCATAAGTTATGTGACATGCCTAAATTGCTGAAATTTGATTTACCTGTTTGTCTTATTTAGTATCGTAAATGAGTATCAGTCTATTTCAGTATTTCAATTTTTGAAATTGAATAAAGAATTAACATTCTGTACTTATTTTAACATGTTATTTTGTAACTTAGTAAAGAGATTTTATCTTATCATTGTAGGTGAAGGTGATGCACAAACAACTATTACTGTTCCACAATGCTGTATCTGCATATTTTACTGGTAATGATGCCGCCCTTGAAGCCACACTGAAGCAGTTCAACATCAAACTAAAAGGCGCTAACACAGAAAAACCCTCTTGGTTAGAACAGTGAAGAATCCAGTCACAGAACCTGCCTATATACAGCCTCATTGCGCCAAGTTTTCTGTGTAATTCATTGTTAGAGGTTTATTTAGTCTGAAACATGTTCATAAATATTGAATTTATCACTTCTTCTCTTTCTGAGTTAATCAACAAAAATTCTGAATTGAGATTTAGAGAATGAATTAACATGACATCTATTGTCATGCTTTTAAGTCAAGATGATCTTTTGAAAAGGCAAAACTTCTTAGAAAAATCATAATGACTAGGTGTTTTAGCAATTACAGTAAGGGAGGTAGTTTCTCCCTTAAAAAAACAGGAACTCATAACTGTTCTCATAATCATTTAACACTTTCATAATAGCAAATTACTACCCAAAGAAGTTTGCAGTTTTAGGTACAATCAGTTTATTATTTAGAAATTAGTTAATTTCAGTTTCTTGGAGAATGTGTCCTTTCTTTTTGGAGGGGCTTATTAAATAAGAGACAAAGGATGTATATTTTGTAATTGACTCATGGTTTCCATCAGATCAAAGAAATTCACTTGAGTAAACATACATGATATACCTGGTTATGTTCAGTTAGATAGTTCAATGCAAACTCCTTACTAGAATAGTAGTCAAGAAATTTCACTGACAAATTCTAGATGACTAATGACAAAGGTAATATTGTTGGTCATATATTAGTATGCATTTATAATTAAATATGCTGCAGTATTGCCTGTCATAACTAAACTGCATAGGGACCAATCATCTCAGGTTTTAAAAACATGCAGTTAAATTCCTTTACATAAAACATCGTTGATACATACCTAGATGTTCGATTTTCAAAATTCTCCAAATATTCAATTTTGATATGTTGTGAAGAAAGGTAAAATTTTACTTTCTTTATTGACCTTGAATCAGAAATTAATGCCAGAAGATTTTCAAATGAAAAGGCCTAAGAAATATGTACATGTATTATACATATCTACTAGTGTTTTAGCCATCTGTTGCCGGTCAGAATGATGGTTTTTGTCCAGTTTTGTGGATCTCATGATTTTGAAATAAAAGCTTGGCACCTCAGGTTTTTTGCATAATCATCTTTTGTAAATTGCGTCCATTTCCACTGCATTGAAAAAAACATCCTGTTTAATTATGAAATAGAATTTTTGTTGATACTTTCATTTATTTGGCAGTTTATTAATGAATTTTATAATGAGGCATGTCTGGAAAGCTTTTTGAATATCTGTTAAAACCTATTGAAAATTCTATTGGGTACTTTTCATATAGGGTAGTTAGATATTTTGATATACCTATCTAAAAACAGTGGTTAATATGAGATAGATCTTTTATTATACTTTTTTATATTCAGTGAATATAAAGCTTTTATGTTGTTTTACACTTGTTTTTTGTTCTGCCACAAAACAAACAAAACATTTCATTGTAAATGCAAGATTTCATTTGACTTATTATGTACTGCCAAGAAAAAGTCCACATGGGTTCTTCAGTTTTTATCTTCAGATAAACATGTACATGTTTAAGAGAATCGAATTATAAATCAAGCATTACTTCAAAAACTGGTTGTGTGGTTTTCTTTTGTGATAACATTCATGAACATTTTTTACACATGTTGAAGATGTACATTTATTGTCAAGGATAATGAACATTGTGGCCAATTTAAGTGCATTTTATGTAAATATTTGTGAAACCGAAATCCTGTATGTAGAAGGTCTGGTATATGTAAATCCTGGCTTTGATTAAGATTTTCTCTATATGTGAGTGAGAGAAAGGTAAGTGTTTGAACAGATTTTTTTGTTTTTGTTTTTGTTAGATATTGAATGAGCTATATTATGTATATTTAATGTTTCTTTTGTGGATATTCATGAATGACAAAAATGTGTGATTCGATGTATCTTTTTTTAATACATATTTGTTCATGCTTGTGTAAGTTGGATTGTGTTATGTGTTGAATTTTATGTTAAAGTCACTCCTTGCAAAGCATGTTTTCACATTTCATAAGGTGTGTCATCCAGTCAGGACAGTTGGTCATCATACCCAGACAGTGTATCAACTGATCTCCCAATGACAATGGACTCCTCTTTACTCCTATTAGTTGCAGACAGTGGACCGCATGTAGTCTTATTCATCACAGATGGCGGGTCACCTGTAGTCCAAGTCACAGATAACGGGTCACCTGTAGTCCCAGTCACAGACAACGGGTCACCTGTAGTCCAAGTCACAGACAACGGGTCACCTGTAGTCCTAGTCACAGACAAAGGGTCACCTGTAGTCCTGCTCAGAGAGCAGGTCATCTGTAGTCACAGACAGTGGGTTACCTGTAGTCCTATTACTTACTGACAGTGAACCACCTGTTGTCCTTGTCACAGAGAACGGGTCACCTGAAGTCACAGACAGTGGGTCACCTGTAGTCCTATTAGTTACTGACAGTGAACCACTTGTTGTCCCAGTCACTGTCAGTGGACCACCTGTTGTCCCAGTCACTGATTGTGAACCACCTGTTGTCCCAGTCACTGTCAGTGAACCACCTGTTGTCCCAGTCACTGTCAGTGTACCACCTGTGGTCCCAGTCACTAACAGCACACCATTTGTTGTCCCATTCACTGACAGTGGACCACCTGTTGTTCCAGTCACTGTCAGTGGACCACCTGTTGTCCCCGACACTGACAGTGGACCACCTCTTGTCCCAGTCACTGTCAGAGGACCACCTGTTGTCCCGGTCACTGACAGAGCATCATTTGTTGTCCAAGTCACTGACAGAGCACCATTTGTTGTCCCTGTCACTGACAGTGGGCCGACTGTTGTCCCAGTCACTTACAGGGGGCCGACTGTTGTCCCAGTCACTTAAAGTGGGCCAACTGTAAGGTTCCAGTCACTTACAGGGGACCGACTGTTGTCCCAGTCACTTACAGGGGGCCGACTGTTGTCCCAGTCACTTACAGGGGGCCGACTGTTGTCCCAGTCACTTACAGGGGGCCGACTGTAAGGTTCCAGAGTCCATTGACATTTCATGTCTGTGATATTACATGATCCATGACAAAAGGTATTCATATCCTATTTCATGTGGAAGCCTTACTTTCACAATATCTTTCCATTCTCTTTTTATTTTCATAATATTTGTATTCTCATTCACCTTCCTGAAAGGCCAAATGAACTTATTCCAAGGTGCAGTGTTTGTCGTCCTTCTTGTGTGATCTTTTCCCTTTGAACATCTTCCTTTTAATAACCAAAAGGCCTGGAATAAGGATATATGAAGGGAAGGTTCCATGGATGAAGCTCACCAACTTTATGAAAAGAAATTATATTGACCAATATTCAGAGTCACAGGGGTCAAATTTGTTAAAATCTTCAAACGGCTTGTCTCAGTAACCAAATGATCCTAGGATAGAGCCTTACTGATTTTGCAAAAAGAAATAACATTTACCCTCTCTTCAAGGTCATAGGGTCAAATTTGTCAAAGCCTTCAACAATGTCTGAATAACCAAGACTTGAATGACAAAGATGTGAAATGTTAATGTATTTGTGAAAGCATTTAATACCAGGTGAAAGATGCAGGTTAATTAGGCCTCTTCTTACTACTTCATGTCAAATTCTGGCCATTTAATTGCTAACAGTAGTATAATGTTAAACAAAGAATAATAAAAAGGAATAATATGAAACATTTATCTCTCAACATCATCATATTTCATAATTTTTATATAAAGCATCAATGTTCAAAGGTAGGTTCTTAGATGTATAATTTTACTCTTGTCATGAAAAGAACTGGTTCCTTTAAACAGGGCATTTACCCAGTAGTAATCTACAACCTTGCTGTAGACTGTTAATATTGCATCTTAAGAACGTACTCCATCATACCATTCATACAGCTCTGTTTAATATTTACTGAAAATGTTGATTTTGTCCAAATTACTTGGCATGCTGCTTCTTTAGCACTCATATGGAGCTAAATAATATTTTTTAGTTCACTGAAGGTGATGGCTTTGCTCATTTGATATATTTGTTTTTAAAATACAGTATACTGCCTTTTAACCTGAAACTTATCATTGTCTTTCAATATGCCTCATCAAAATACTTTTCTTGTATACGTTAAGGTGTATTTAACTTATTGTATACATATTCAAATTATGAAAACTCCTACTGTTAGCTCTGTAGAAATGTTGAAACAAAAACAATGCTCCAGTTTATGTTACCTTATTATGTATTGAGATAGTGAAATTCTTACCATTTTGAGAAATCAAATATTTTATTTATTTGTTTTGTGTGCATTTTATGTTATATTACGTCCAACTTCCTTAGTTTTGTGACAGACTTTTTCCGAGATTACTTGACATATAGATAGACAACCAATAGGTTAAATTTTAATACATTCTGTACTGGTATCCTTTAAACATTTTACAAGACGTGTAACCTAGGTACTTCCTATAACATACTCCAACATATTACCGATCAACATCTACAAATTCATATCACATTCATTATCACTGTATAATTGACATTGCTGTGTTAGCAAGTTATATGGGACCACATGATAGCATAATGAAGTAACCATCTTCACATCTTCCTTTTAAAAAGGAAGTTTTCTTATTTGTGTGTATACATGTATACAAGTTCTGGGAAGTTATGAAGCCCATTTCTCTTGTTGTTTTACATACTTTGTATATACTTGTGATGTCTTATGCTAATACAAGTTGTCTTTGATTTCAAATAGTATGATTTTCAACAATGATAGATTCTCTTTGCTGTAGATGTTTCTTTCTTGTGTCCATTTGTGTTGACAGCAGGGAAGGTCAATTTTACTGGAAATGTTCAGCTCATCGCTGAGAGAATAATAATAGTGAGGTAATAATTTCATATCTGAACAGTTTTAAGCAGTTGAGCAAGATACTTACAGCAAGAACTGGTGTAGGGGATCTTGATTGCTGATTAATCTTTAATAGCTAGTCACTTGTTCTCTGGACTCCAATATAATTGTATTGTGACCTTGTAATGTGTATATATAGTATTTTATTCCTCATTCCTCTGAGGACATATGAGGTGTAATTTTTTTTTTCAATGTATAAAAGAAAAAAAATGTATATTTTGTTTATATATATATATATAGTATATAAACAATGCACATTAGTAATCTTTAGTGTTCTGGTAGCTTTGGTAATTGTTGCAGTGTGGGTTGAATATATATTAGAGCCTATCATAAGTTTATTATACCCCCACTTAGGTAGAGGGGGTATAATCAGTCTGTGTGTTGAAGATACCAATGAATAGATTTTAATAGCATTGTTCAAGGTTAAAGGTCACTCCCAATCACTTGAAATAAAAAACTTGTTTACAAGATATTTCATGAACCACAGGACAGAATTAATTCATAATCACAACATATCATCACTCTATCAATTATCAATGTCTACACCTGATTAGATTTTGGTGGTAATCAGTGAAGGCAAAATGTCGTGGGTTGGCCACTTTTGAAATAAAAAGCTTGTGTAAAAGATGTTCCATGAACTCCTTAATAGGTAAACTCCTGAGTATACCTATATATTGAAAAGATGAGGGAGTGGAGGGTATATTTATCTGTAGGAGTCTTTTATTTGTTTGTATTATTCCATTATTCAAGAAATTTAGGTTTGGGTATCTACTGATCAACAATAATTCTTAGATAAGTACACACTTCATTAGTTAGACAATATAGAAGTGAACAGAAAAGTTGTCAATTTTCTTTCTTTTCTAAATCTGAATATATAGATTATAATTTGATCACTGTACAAATCTATGCCATTTTAGATTTCCTGATGATTGTTTTGTCATTTGGTATAGCTCACAAGTAATATAAACTACCTAGTGAAAATTTAATTATATCTGAAATCCACTTGATTTTCCTACAAATATACCACAACCAAGGGAGATATTTTCTTCTAAATTGTGCTGTTGTCTTTAAAGCTGTTTGGACAAAATGCTTTGGTCCATTGTTCTCCAGTATTGATGAAAGTAGTTACATAATAAAAAGAAACATTCAGTTTCATTTTCTATCAAATGTTACGAGCTCGAGCAAGTTACAGTAAATTGGTATGGGATAATTAATTGACAAGTAATTTACAAAAAATTGTGTGCAATATTACATTTGTAAACATAAATTTCATATATTTAAATCAACCATAACATTGTTGTCGGAGAGATGAAACAGTACTGCCAGCATCACTGTTATCATGGATTTGGATATATCTTAAATCTGTGCATTTACATTGGCAAACAAGACAAATGTACCATGTAACCTTTCTCGGATTGTGATGTCAATGATCATGAGGCAGTCAGTTACATATTTATACAGGGGATTTTCCAGTTCTGCTGGTAAAAAAAGAATCACTTTGCTGTGCTGTTTGTGTATTTATAAATGCTTGTGAAACTATAACTAATATCACATTTTCCATATGTATAAACCATCCATGTTATTTAAGGTCTGTGAAATACACCAAATGAATAAAAGCTATGAAAGAAACATATGGCTTATTGTCATTTTAATCTTTTTTTTTTTCATTGTTTTACTGTTGACATTCTTTTTTCCTGATCAGATTGTAAAATCACACATAAATGTAACAGTGATGCATTTATACCAACACAAAATGTCACAAAACAGCTGTACACTACAGCTTTTTGTAGAAAACAAAATAAGTAGTCAAATCTCAAGGAAACTGATTCGGTCTGATAATGATCGATGGAGTACAAGACGGTACCGCATGGTACTGAACAGCAGCTGAAGATCTCTGTAGAATATTGTTCAAGCAAATGGTATTTTTAAGGTGTTCGTGAAGTCAATCTGTATTGTGTTCACTGAGTTTCACCCATTCCAATATTATCATTTACTGTCCCTGGTCAGGAAGCACACATATGTATAATTTTCACTTAATATCGCATGTCAATTAACGAGAATTTCTCCAAAAGTACTATCATTTATGGAATTAAAATGTCATTTCGCTGTCCTGTAGGAAACCCGACTTGATGCTCTGGCGTGTTGACCAGTGTGCACATATGTCCCAAGCCAATTATCAGTTGATATATCTGATGTCCTTATTTTTTTTACACAAGCATTTGCCTAAATGTATCGAATTCCTTTAATTTATTAAGAAATAACACCGTATTCAGCTTCAATCCAACGTCATCTCGCTGTCCTGAACGAAACCAGAACTTGGTGCTCTAGCGTTTGCCATCGTTCGGTTATTTACGAAATTGGCTGTGTCCAGAAATCTTTCTACACAATTCACAAGGCAGTTATTAGTACGCGAGTCCAATTTGTTGCTTGGCTTATCAATACATTTGTCCCAACACTTCTCCGTCAGTTCGTGAACGAGCTGGTTGAATCTTTGCCGCTGCTGCTCTTTCATCACAAATCGCTGAAGTGATGGGTCCACCATACCTTGATTCGCCATACTGTTGCTTTTATAACTGGACTACAACTGCTGCAATTGGCAAGCTGATGACATGTGTTCCTTCAACAACCTTGAACTCAAGAAATCATAGTCACGTAAACGCTTAATTCAGTCGTATATAATTTTAGTCCCGGATAGCAAGTGAGTTCCAGAAACAATTGGTTATAAGCAAAAAGGAACCCAAATGATAATCAATGACAAATTTGTAATATATTATAAAATTATAAAGTGGATAAATAGCTATTTGGACTAAATAAAACGGTAAAAAAAAAAAAATAGGAAAATTTGTCGTTTGAAAACTTCTCCAAAAGTATCACATTAAAAAGATCCCAAAGGGGCCCGGCTTTGTGTCTTGACCGAAAATTTCTGTCTCGAAAAGGGTCATTTTAATGTCATTTATCATGCTGTAATTAATAACTACATTTTACCGCATGTTCGCAAGGTGTATGTATAGATAAATCTACTTATCATCGCCTGATATGCTATATTTAGGCGTTTTGAATCTCGAATTGACTAGAGGCGTTTCGAGCTGTTCGAACTGACCACAAGAACAGATATTTTGATGCTGACTACTTTTTGAAATGACTCTCAAAAGGTACAACATATCCCGTTTTTCGGAATATCACTTTAATTATCTGTCAAAGTAACGGTAATTACGATGGCCCTTCAATAGGTTTTTAGTGAATCAACATAGCGGATACCACTGTGAGTCAGCGTTGCGGAGGTTGTAATACTTTTTACAGGAGTTCACTCCCTTACACTAACCGTACTAAACAATTTTGTGGCTACAATGTGCTGCGGTATTTACTTCTCAAGTTCATCAACAGTTCCGCTAAGCATACATTTTCCTAATAAAAGCCCTCAAAGAAACAAGGAAACGAAAACGATATAGATCTACAGTGAATTCCGTTTCTGCTTTGTACTCTACTTTTATTCTCCTCCAATTTAGATCAGTAATCGACATGCTAATGTTAAAAGTTTTTATTGCAAAGAATCGATACAAAACCCAGTTTAATACTTGATTATTCATTTTGCTTTAATGTGATTTCGTGATTATCAAGGAAACATTATATAAGACGGGTAAAATGTGAAATTTATCCTAATGGACAACTGTCCAAGTGTACGAGGCTGACTTTATCAGTCTGTAAGTTTTGTTAAGATGCACTGCCACTGTATTTGTCTACTAGCTTATCTTCCCTTCATGTGAAACTAGCATTTTAAGACTTTATTGATAATTTGATATATTCTAGAGACAGGGATCCGCATATACATAAATAGTCAAGGTAAACTACGATCATTTTTAGTATCAACACTTTGTGAAGACATTAGTTAATTTGGGACTTGCGTATAATTTGTGCATCATAACCTTGAACATGTACGTGTTGAAACACCAGTGATGACAATCGACTCGGCAGATTGTGTACTGGATGCTCCATTGTGCGTTAACAACCACCTTAACTGAGCACGGGTCTTCTATTGGTGTACCCAGAATGCTTCATCTACAGTTTGACCGTGTTGTTCCTCCACCACATCGGACTAAACTCCACCAGCCATAAGATGTTCCCAGAGTAGGGCCCAAGCTGACTTCCGGTCTCTCGTCTCTTACATCTGCAGATTAACCACTGGATATTTTCGGACAAATAACTCACTGACTGCTTATTTGACAGGCACTAACTAACGTATTTTCGTTTTTCAATTTCTATTTTGTGTTTCCGTGACAACGGTATTACATCTTTGGAATGAAAATCACGCCCATCTCCTAATATAAATGCTGGTTACATGCAGGTCAAGCATTTGCCCTTTTTTCTTTAGATCGATACATTCTAGCTCTACGATCTACAGATAAGTTGTCTTATAACAACAAAGTGCCATTGATTTTATTGTCTCATGTGGACTTGATACTGTTTGTTGACGGATAGAGTAGATGTACAAGTATGATAGACATCTAGTTTTCAACTCGAAGAGATATCAACTTGATTTCGTTCTAACGAAGTAGAAAAATGTTTCGACGCAAGAGAGGCATTTGTATTTGCTAATTTCTGAAGTGATCGAAATTTCCTGGATGTGACAATATTTCCGTATATCCGTTATCGCGAATCTAAGAAATGTGCAGTAGTAGAAAAGATTTCAAATACACGTATGTAAAAATGTTCATCCCTTCTTGTCCTTAAAAAAACAAAAAACATTGTCATCATTGTCCTTCATCAAACAAAACCTTTGTCCTTAACCAAACAAAACCATTGTCACAAGTGTCCTAAACCAAACAAAACCATTGTCCTTCACCAAACAAAACCATTGTCCTTCACCAAACAAAACCATTGTCACCAGTGTCCTAAAGGGAGGTTGTGAAAAGGGAGAAGGGTGATAGATGTAGCTCAGGTAATGTCATGTCCTGAAAGTTGACGAATGTAAAACAAATAGACACTTTGTCACTGTAATGTCTACACCACATAGTGGTAACTCTGGAACTTCTACTGGCAGGTACCTTTTATAAAAGAACATGAACAAGTCCTTTTGTATTGGTGATTAGGAGTTTAGACTAAGATTATTTGGACTTGTACATGTCCTTTTGTAAAAGTGGTTTGAAGATTTTTTTAATTACAGAAAACATCTTTAACACGGTAGCGCCACTGGTTGATCAATGTGGGTAATTCAAGATGATTACGGATGGTGTGAAAGAGGCTAATGTTTATAGAGTTCAATACATGACACCTAACCTTCGGGCAGTAGCCGATGATTTATATAGTGTTTGGCGGACAGTACCGATTGGCCGCTACTTCATTTACTATAATTATCATACTCAGGGATTGTACTCATGTACTACTTCTTCGATTTTATCTCATAATGCTTTCCTTTCTGTTTATGTATCAATCAATGGTCATTTGTGAGATAGGTTTGTTTCTGAAGGTACCTATCTCTGCTGTCTCCGAGTTTAAATAAACAAACGCGACCGTTAGAACGACCCAATTGATTCTGTTCTATCGCTCTGTAAGCTATATTCAATCCTTTAGTTACTAGTGTTTTCACAAAGTCAAAAAACAACCGTTCTCCAAATTACTTGTAAACATTAATGTTTGAATAGACTAACTTTATTTGTTTAAAACGTAAAATCTGAAGAAAAGAACAACTTTTTTGAATATCAAATACAAAGCGACTGCTTTAATAACTGACGTTAACGGGTTTCAGTATGTACATATGTACAAGTGTTAAGTCAATGACTGTGTCCTTATTAATCCGATAATACTACAGAAAAGTTCCCCCTAAAAATCAAAATACACCTTTGGATTAATAATGTATAAAACAGTAAAGTCATCTCCCATGTATACGAACATTGTTGTTTATTTTCCTTCCTTCACTTTTCGGCGATGACTTTATGGACAATACGGTAACAGTGTCATGGGTTCAGATCGTTAATATACTGTGTCACAATTGTATCATTTCTTTACATAAAATAACGCTATCCAGCTCTGTCCTTTTCACATTGACCTTTTTGTGAATCTTATGTTGAATAGCTAACGTCTGTAAAGTTCCTATTGGTATTTTCTTGAAATCACATACCAGGGTTTACGCAAAGTTTTATTGTTGTCTTCCATATTGTTAGAAAAAAAGACAACTTATTTCAAGTTTTGAATGTCACCGTTACATGTTACAAAATCAATGCTGGTAAACATAGATTCGTATTTATATTTACATTACCAAGTATTTAGAACATGCTCGAGAAGGTTTGACCTCTTTCCACTGTAATCTGACGATATGTTATCTGTGTCCAGGTAGATACAGTAATGAACACTAGGAGATATCGTAACCTGTACCTCTCGTCCCCGTATCTCTAAGTAATGGGCTCGAATTATACATGGGTCGATCGGCGGCACTAAAGCGCGCTGATAGCATTCATTAGGACCTATTCAACATTTTCATAAACTATTTTGCGACTACTAGTTTTTGGAGTTTCGTTTTAAAATCTTCAACAAAGTTTGTTTTTGTTTGCTAACTGTTGTATACTATTCATGTGCAAGATGCGATTTTCATGTAATGTGATGTTTACAATGGTTTCTTGCCATCGATTTAAATACACTCCAGAAATTTATGTTATTTACCGAAACATCCACCTGATGTATACAATGGTCTCATTAGTTAGTCAAACTATCATATACTATATACGATATCCACTTTGTTATCACAACATCCTGCGACCAGTGGTACGACGAGACTAAATGACAACGGGAAAAATGCACAAGAAACATTATTCTTGGACCCAGGAACATTACTCAACTACATACATCATGCATTTCCACCTGGATTTTATCAATATTTTTACACTGGAAATATTTTGCAATTTTTGATCTTCAGCACATTTACATAAATTAATTATCATTTTATGAATATTGATTAATAATCACTAAAAATTCGGAATAATACCTGTGTCATCCCAATTAAACAATAACACTCATACAGGTTTTATTTTTATTAACATATATTTCCATGTGATTTCTACATCTTAAAATAATGTCAACAAGCTTCAAAAAAGTCATTAATAACGTTCTACAAGTATACGCTAACGTGACATGCTACAGCAGATTACATTGTGTAAATGTACAGTTACCAACAAGCTTGTAAACTTCATCATGACCTTCAGCGCCTCTACAATAACATCAACATGCTCCAAACACTTTATCTGTACGCTAATGTTAATAACTGTCCTAGTGTAAAATCCTCTTACAGCCTTACAGCAACGTACACTGTACTGATTTCAGCGCTAGTTCTATTATTCACAAACCAGCAAACCAAATCAACAGATGTCAAAGGTCATGGTGCACTGCATATACCAATATACACATGTAATTAACGATAGTGAAGTTATAAAATATTACAAATACCAGATTGTCTTTGATTAATTTACGTACACTAAACATCAGAATCATTATCATATCAAATGAGGAGCAATCATTTACATCAATAGCTGTAATACCATTTACCAGTTAACAGTATATAAATTATTTCATTAACATCCCAGCAGATTCCTTTATAAATATTAACGAAAAGTATATAGATATCGCTTTTGAAATACGCGATATAATCTCAAAATTCTACAATAAAATGGATCTTGTTTTCCCATCTCCGCGTAGCTCAAATGTCAATTTAATGTTACAGTATAACATTGCAGTGCTTCTGTGACATAAAGATTAAGTAAAGGTCCAATCGAGTAGGCGACGTAACTACGTATATCTAATAATCAGGCGCGGTATCCACTAGGTATATATTGATATGCCGTTGTTGAATATATTGACTTGGGATTGAAAAACATGTTGGGATCATTTAAATATTATTACGTCATCATTTGTTTACACCAAAATACATTCAAATGTGTTATTTCAGGCAGTTTATTAGCGTAATTCGCATCACGTGTATCGCTTCATAGACTTGTTCTTTTTATATAAACTTTTAATTAAAATACGCAAAAAATAGAAAGCGAGAGAGTTTTCTCCTTAAATTAACGTAAGATATTTTACTGAAAATGTTTGAATATACAGACGTAATTATAATGGAATCTTACATTATCTTGCCTACATTAGACTTCACTATGAGAATACTTATAGTTGATGTAAAATGTGCCAAATATATCAAGTATGATCCCGTTAAATTGATTATTTGATTCTAAGATTTCGTGGACTTCCATTTAGTTTCAAGAGATAAAAGCAACATGTGATGCTTATATAACATTCACGAACGAGGAAAAGTGATGTAAGGAAACGTTTTCCAAACCAAGGACAATCATCAATGGATGTAAGTTGTGAATTTTTGCACTGTTTGAAATTTACCGTATAACCTGTTATTTTCGCGAGGATGACATTTTTGTCATTTTGTGATCGCTAACGTGAACGCGAAAAATTAATCTGAGAAATAATGAAACACGTGCCACTAAATGCCATTTTACATCCAGATCGCGAGATTTTAATTTGTTAAATCATGATTCCTTCCTTTCAAAAGAAAATCGCGAAAATTTTGACCAGCTTTACCGGCTATACGGTAGAAGAACAATTAGATATCATCATTAATACAATGTCAGAGAAAAAAAACCCATTGATTATCATTTGGTATTTATTAGAACATTCAACACTATATTACAAGATATGGTTGTTTGGCACAGGTAGTTCTATACAGATATGTACATATGGAGACTTCTATTATACCAACAGATACAAATATATCCTAACATTACCCTTTATCCGAGAACAAAAAAGTACATTGTACCATATTAATAACATACTCTGGTACTACCAACCATTGAGGCTGTAACGAAAAAATACAGAAATGCAACTATAAAGCGTTACAGTATAAGCAAGTAGAAACATGAGCGGAAGCAGTAATGTTTCAATCCAACACGCCCACGAGTTCTTGTACATAAGGATCAAGAGGCGAGTTGTTATAACTGTTGGGCGAATGATCGCTGTAAACGGAAATGCATGTGCTGCTACTGTACAGATTCAGTTTTCAGATGCCTCATCCCGACGTAGCTTAACGTCATTTCAATTAGTTTCAATTATTTTAGTCATATAATCACTTTAAAAACATCAATATAATGATTTATTTGAATCAGTTCTGTAATTTGTTATTTTGAATTTTCTAATTTCATATCAACGAAATTAAAGTCTCCTCCCTCACCCCACCCACGATTCTGTTGGAGAACATTCTTACATTACTGAGTAATATGACAAAATTATTAGCGACGTCATTACAACAAACCTGCGTCAACGAAATTCCATAATTGGGGCTTTGATGTCATAGCGCCAGCTATATAAGAACACATATAAATTGATACAGAAAATAAGTTTCCTTTCATTGTAAAATGTTTATTATATAATCCCCGAATGATAACCTGGAAACAGTACATATTATAATATCAATAAAGTAAATGTGATGGATTGCATGCATGAACACGTGCAGAACACTCTTTAGCAATCACTTTCAATATGGAAATCGATATTTATGACGTTGTACGACCTTATTTCTTTACATACTTAGTCATACTCCTAAAACAACCTGAAGTCGGTATTTCTTAAAACGAGTAATAGCTGTAACTTAATGATATATAGTAAGCTTATCTACAGACAAACGTTAAAGTAGTTTATATGCAAATCATAAGTAGTAATCAATATTAATCGGCATTTTGACAAATAAGCTACCGTTATGTTTTCTGTATCACACACAGGATGTACTTTTCATTGATCTAATTTCCTAATTGACGCCGTGGCAGTAAGCAAGAAATTACAGTAACCACAACAAAATACAGTTCTTTAGTAGACAACAAGAAGTGCAACAACAATATTAGCACCAGTTTGAATGATACAAACATGAAAGAACAGTAGCTCTTGAAACAGAACCATCACTCATAATCAATATGTTCAAAGGATAATCTGCTGCAGTTTATCTTGTAGGGACTGATAGTTTGTTTGGTGAAATATAATACCATATCTTTGTGCTTTTGTTTACAGTGATAGTTTTGACACTGATGTTAAACCTTTCACTATTATAGAGGCATTTCCCACGCATACGTCGAAACTTTCATCAAGCACAGTTTTTGATGTATTTATTAATTTGCTTCAAAACACTATCTAGTTCGTCACAAATGACAATACCTTGACGTATTCAGTAATTTCTTTAAAACGTCCTAAAGCCTGAAATATGATAACAGCATCAATATCATTTTTCACTTTAATTCCAACGAATAACAACGAAATAGTCAACAAATCGAGACATGACCTTCGGTGTGTTACTTCGCGCATACTTTCTCACAGTCCTCCTTCGAAAGAAAGTTGTTTTCGTTTCCGCGGCAGCCACCATATATAAATTCCTCACACTCTTCAGTTTCGGTATTGTAAAAGTATCTGATCTTTCTGGATCTGCATGGTCCGGTGATTTTTTCCAGTGTGCATTCTGCTTTCCCTTTCTTGATGTGAAAATTGTGTGGCTTTTTGTTCAGTGGTGTGATGACGAAGTCGTCCATTTTGTTATTCTTGCGAGTCTTCAGTTCTGTAGCATAGATAAGTTTGGTTTCCTTGGTGAATACTGCTCCTCTTTCAGGTTCTTCCTCGAATAAGTCAGCGTAGTCGTCTACAATGATTATATATCAGTTCACATCTCATATAAAATACGGGTGGTCATAATGCTATTCAAATTGCAATCATACATTTCAAAACGAACCATTGGTATTCACCATTTTTTTGACATGCAATTTCGACTACTCATAAAATAAAAATGCGTGTGCTTGAACAGTGACAGGTTTAATTTGACCAAATAATATCATAATAATGCACACTGAAAGTTTAGTCGATGGTATTAATAATACCCGTGAGTTCATACAGGTTAACTAACATAAGGACAGTATTATTTAATAAGGACACTGCTATAATGGATTCGAGTTTATGTGAATTAACGAAAGTAGTTCCGGATGTGGTATGAAACTTAGACAAATGCTACTTCATTCAAACAAGTGCGCTTTAACTAGGCATTGTAAAATTCCATAAATGTAATCATTTTCACCTTTGAACGAACAATGTGAAATACAGATGGAGACTTTTCTATAGCGTTTCACGTGTCATTGTACTGACCTTTGATTCCTTTTGGTTCACCCATGTCTACCAGAAATTCTGGTGAGCGGCTATTCCGGGTTAGCGGCGTCTTCCTTATAGATTTGTCTTTACTTGTTGGTTGATCAGTGCCTGTTGCTGAAAGAGAAAACATAGATTTAGATATAATCTGATGGCAATGTGGTCATAGTGCAAGCGTTATTATGATGTGGATTTTTCTGTAACAAACTCGTGCTACTATTAAACCTTTTACAATAAATTTCGACATTTCCCAGTTGGGTTTGAAATATTTCTATTGATGGTGCGTTCAGACCATTTGATTACAGTACCGTACTCCTACATGATAGCATTTTCACGAATAAAAAAATAAATTCCTCGCTTAAACTTCGTGGACAGTTTGCATTTGTAACCTTTGTTAATATATCACCTCCGACATATGAAAAAAAAACCAAATGAATTAGCGTAATACATACGATGGCATTCTGGGTTTTGCCCAACAACATTATCCCACCCTGCCATTTTTTTCCAAGGATTCGGTAATGCCACACAGTACACCTTCATCATCCCTGTGAGGTAATACCCAGGATCGCATTGGACTATTATATATGACCCCATCTCGTAATCTGTTCCTATGATAGTTGCATGAGCGGGTGGAACAGGTGTAGGGCAAAAGTAACGTTCTTCATCCGCTGTATAATAATTGTATTCATGCATGTACAAGGTGTAAATTACAACACTACCATCTTAAAACTATTGTGGAGACATAACTACATTCAAATCACAGTGAAGACACCACTACATTAAAATCACAGTGAAGACACATCTACATTTAGGGATTAAAATCTCAATGAAGACACCGCTACATTAAAACCGTAGCGAAGACACCACTACATTAAAATCACAGTGAAGGCACATCTACATTTAGGGATTAAAATCTCAATGAAGACACCACTACATTAAAATCACAGTGAAGACACATCTACATTTAGGGATTAAAATCTCAATGAAGACACCACTACATTAAAATCGTAGCGAAGACACCACTACGCTACATCAAAACCATAAAGAAGACATCTATACATTAAAAACATAGAGATGACACTGTGACATTAACACCAAAGAGAAGACACTACAGCATTAAAATCAAAAGGTAGACATCAGTACAATAAAGCCAATAAGTAGAAACAATTTCACTAATATTAACCGATTCATTTACATGTAATATCATAACAAACGTATATTATAGAATTTATTATGTAATTCGTCTTAAACATATCAACGAAATGTACCCTTATATATTTCCAAATATATAAACGGCGTACAATATATAATTGTAGTAATGTGTACAATGTCAGCTTCATAAATTAAGGTAAATCATGTTAGTCAACCACGCCATCACGAACTAGAAATAGGCATAATTTATTTCTACCCCTTGCAATGCCTCATTCGCCTCCCAGGTTTTTAACTAGTTACCCGATCATCATCGACGAGCTCAAGAAGGACACACCAGCCGTATGTTGCAGTTTAATTTATCATTATATGTTTTGTGTATCATCCTTTTTTTACTTGACCATCTGTTATACAATCAGTCAGCAGTTGTTTGTGATATGTATATTGTACAATAAAATGTATACTTCAATAGCTACCTATGGCGGGTAAATTCCATGACCAGAAGCACATACTTCTGCATTGATATAAACGGGAGAAATCAAAGAAGTATATTCTATTCCATTGTGCGATAAGAAACGACGTTTTCGATGCTCGTTAGGTTACTTGTTGGTTTCGTGGTGTTTTACCTTGTTCTCATTTGAGAACGTGGCATTACTAAGTTGGATTGACCCAAATTTACATGAAGTAGGAAACGCTTGCTTCTGCGGTACACATGGTCTTGTTATTCTTATACTGTTTCTTGAGTCTGCGCGTAAATCTTTCTTCTGCTCATATTGTGTTCTAGCTTTAACAGAAACTGAGTTTGAATTATGATTATGTTCACATGCTCGAGAGACTAGAGAGAAGAAGTATATACTTCAGCAGTTATCATTGACAGGTAAAACTTGAGAGAGAAGTATATGCTTCAGCAGTTATCAATGACCGTAAAACCAATTAATTTTTTCTGAATAACCTATTGGAAGATCATGTAAAACAGTGGTACCTCACGTGACTTTCACCATGGCGAATGGGGTTTAATTCAAAAATCGAATTTGAATAAATATAGAGCCTCCGCCCGACTTCATAGCTTTTCACCAAGTACATGGTTATCTGGTTACATCCCTTGGCTAGATCCTTCGCGCGCGTCCATCAGGCTGAACAAAACTGATAATATACGCTGACAGTTTGTTTCGGAATTGTAAAAATGAAAGTTTCTGAAGTATACTTCGTTAGCTATTTATGATGGACGAAGCCAGTGAACAGAATCACTCCTCCACATAACATACGATATGCAAAATTCCTGTATAAAGTCGGGAAGTTGTCAATTCTGTGCGACACATACGTATGTTTACATCAGCTTAAAGTACTTTTTATCAAGGCTGTATACGGAACATTTTCTTTAATTATTAGAATTTTATGACTTCAGCATAATAAACCATCCATGAAAGTCAAACATCGTTATACCTATATACAAGGGAACAACACACATTAGTTAAAGCGTGATATGTCAATAGGAATTTATATGTTAAAAATTCGAGTGGAGGCATATCACAGCCGGCAGTATAAAAATTCGAGCGGAGGCATATCACAGCCGGTAGTATAAAAATTCGAGTTGAGGCATATCACAGCCGGTAGTATAAAATGCGTCTTGAACACGTAATATACCTTTGTTTACCTGTGACATGTATGAATGAAAAAGTTTCATTTAAGATATATACCCCAACCCGTTAAGTGACATAGTAGGTACGTTAATCGATGAAGAAGAATAAATAAGGTTTTACTGCCAAATATGTAAAGAAAAAAAAAAGAAAAAAAAACCTAACTGCACGTGTTTCTCGGATCTATGATAAATCGTTATCGGTTCGAAGGAATGTTCACGACTGTATAGAATTAGTTATAATTTCACCAACTTTCTGATGAGATATTGGCCGGTACCTTAATAAATTATATTTTACCATATCTGCTTTTCATACTAGCTATAAGGGTTACTGTTTTATAGTGTAACTGGTAATGAAAGATAATGATAAGGAATGGGCATGACAGTCGTACCAGCCCGAGCCGGTACGTGTAGATGGACGGACGGATAGCTCAGGAAGGGAAATGGTTGACATTTTAACGACTCTCATGACAAATTTTACAAACTTTTATGCGACAAGAAATCAGAATTTGTCTGAACTGAATCAGTAAGACATTTTACGTACTACCAAGACTACTCGTACAGACCCAACAATCGCCGGCCTGCATACTTTGATTTAAAGCTGATAAAAATGTTAACCTGATTTCTTTTTTGTACAAAAATGATTTTGCCTATCTGCCACTTAAAGGGAGTCGTCCCTAGACACTTGGGTGTATCAAATGAGGGTATATGAAAGACATGGCAAGGGATCATTGACAAATTTGGGAGATAACACACCATATCTTGATTAAAACACTGTTATCTTAAAAGGAATTTAATAGTCTGTTAGACAAAAAATCTTGAAATTACTGACCTCATTAAGTCTTTTATAATGGTGTGAAATGTGTTACAATGATGAGAAAAGATTCATATTTCACGTATCATCTGCTGCTTTTTATCAAATCGCAGCCAATTGGACTTATTAATATATACACTCTAAAGCTATCGTCAACATGTCGCTGTGCTTGGTACCACATCGTACTGCACTTTGTATACTCGGTTCATGAACACAAAAAATTGTATACAGAAACCAAATACATTTAATATTTTAACAGATATTTTTTTTTCATAATATGTGTCTTGGTTCAACATTCTTTCAACATCATGACATCTATGACTTCAGACTTCGTTCAACTGTAAACAAGTTATTAAATGATGTGAATACGTCCTAGCAATATTCATATTTACAAATAAGCTATTTATGCAGAAATCCATTTATACGCTGCATTATGTAATAAGACCATCTTTTCAAATGTGTTAAGCAGTCATTAAATACCTTCCACTTCCGTCTAATTGAAAATCACACTGATCTAAAGTTTCCGAACCCCACGTTGTCAAAATGACATATTATCAAAACTTAATTCTTTATTCAAAACTCTTAAGTACAAACTACTCATTTATTAATAATATTCCTCAATAGACAATCTCTAACGAGGACAATTAACGAGTTGAGAATGTTTATACAAAACGAAATAGCCAGCGGATATATGGGTGGCCGATATGAATAAAACAGCTAGTGTTTATATGCACTTATTATATCATTAGAATTATCGATTATTAATGGCCTTCCATAGAGCCACAGTTTATTTACTGTTCAACCAGAGCATGGGTCATGCACTAAATGACCCGTCGCTACTGAATAGTCCTCACTCTAATGACTGACACCTTAACGTATTATATGTTTGCTTTCTCGAATATCTCGCTGTATTCGAAAATGAAATGGGCGTATATATTTATCTTTAACGAAACATTACGGGTAGTTTAGTCAATTGATTTTCTAAAGCCTGTCACACCAATATGCCGATATCAAGTATTTATTTAGATTTGTCAAAGCGGAACCACAAGAAGTTTTCAAATATGAATATAACAAAAACTGCATAATTACGTGGATTATTAACAAACCTGTATCACAGAATACTCAATATACAGACAATTAACGAGCTTAAATGATTACTGAAATACATAATACATTATAGAAGATTAGATGTTTGAATGCGTAGATAAAAATGCAACTTTTTGAGACACGTGTACTAAGGCTATTGTGACATTTACGCAATGGTATCGGCAAATTAAAACGAAATTTACCTGGCTCATAGAAAAATGAGTGGGATGGTTTTAGCTTATTTTCTTATTGCATAATGTGATGAACAGAACAATTAATTCTTCTCTCATGTCATGTCTTATATATGAAACTAGTTTAATAGCTTCATATACCATCCAAAAAGGACAGATATATCAAAACATATACAGACAAGTAGGATTATCTACATTACCGAAAAGAACAATAACATTTTTACCCCATGACACGGCGGATGTCGTAGTGATTAAAGTGTTTGTAAATATATTAACCGGAAAGTTTATTAACCACAGAATACCAAAAAGCAGGATTAAAGTATCCAAAGATCACCTCATCCTTATTATTTTTTGCTGTTTTAATGCCATTGCCTGGGACAGGTATCACGACCAGGTACCAGAAATTCAAAATTCATGAATGATAAACTATTTGTGTTATAGTTCAATCGCACCAAGTGTAACGTGATAACGATTGTGGTCTTTGAAGATAATTTAATCTGTAATTTTCACCGATTCAGTACCTCCACCAACAAACAGTGTATCGTGTGGCACAAGGCACCATTAGGCGCAGACACAACAAAACCCTCCAGAATTGAAATAGGATCACACAGATCGGAGTCCCGACTCTGCATGTCCCTACGACCAGTGCCAGTCACAGACGTGCCAATATATGTCGCCCACTGACCAAGCGAAATAACTTCTTAACACTGTTCTAATTTGACAAAATAGTATTAGGTGTATAGCGAAAAGTGATGTCCGTTCACTATCCGAAGTGTTAAGTCAATACTAATCAGTACTAGAGGTAGACACCACCTGTTGAGACAGTGCTCTTATGTGACCTGGTAAATAAACCCATCGTAAATAAGCAAATAAGTGTTTGATTTTCTGTTGCAAATCGATACATCACAAAGTTTAATTGTCATCGTTAATAAGATCACTCATATCATAAAAAGAAAGTTATTAAATCTATTTACCGATAGCAAAAGTGAAGTGTTCTTTGAGTTCCATACCTGTTCACAAATGATAACTAAGAAAACTCGCTGTTTCTTTTGATCGTACTATGAACAATTATCATTAAAATATGTTTACAATTAAAATTCTTTATAAGTATATGCTGATGACGATACAGTTTATACATGTATTGTAGACCTGCTCGAACTAACAGCCTTTTGTTGATTAAAAAAACTACAAGTTGGTTTATCGCACATTCGAAGATGCATGATAGAAAGGAAAATAAAGTAAAATCGTCGACACAGCGATGGTCATTCGTGTGAAAGTTTTCTTCGTTAACGCGTCATCTGATTCATCTTCAGTACCTGGCGACCTATTCCTGATCCTTCAGTCCATGGATGTTAACCCCTACTTCAGCATAGAATCTGATACTCAACAAGGATGATAACCACCACTTTTTAAAATATGGTCAATGAGGAAATGTCAGAATTACGATTTTGTCAAAAACAATTTTAATGACCTTTCCATTGAGCACCATGAAATATGATTTTTCAAAAGTAGAAATGCTGATTCTCTTTAATGATTGATGATAACGTTATGATTTCAAATAAAAATATGATCAGAAAAATCTTTAAAACATACCAGGACGACGCGAGATTGACGACAACTGAAAGGTAATCGGTATTCTGGTCACATATAATCTTTTACAAAAAAATATATATAAGTTGAAGCTGCATAGGCTACTTTAGGTCAAATTTGTTACAGATCACACGAAGAAAACATTCGATGCCATTCATATATATGGTCTAAGGAGCCACACCCAAAAAGACAGTGTCATCTCTGCATTCTGCTTAATCGGATAACGTCATCAACCCGTTTCACAAAGAATTGTTGTACACACAGTGCGGAAAATATAACCAATTATCACCAAGTGAGCTCAAGACCTGAAAGTAAACAGCACTTCTCTGATAATTACTTCATCAAACAAGGGGAGCAGGGCTGACTAGACGCCGATATATGCACCACTCGTCCGTGCTGGGTTACACCAGGACTCGTCTTCCCTCTCAATATTTACCAGTGTTTTTAAAATCAGCGAAAACAACCAGGTGCCAAGTAACCCAAGATTGAGTCATTAATGTTTTAAACTAAGCCTTACTTTTTAGTGTAAGTATGCAAACCGAATGGTACCAGTTTCGACCTTCTATATAATCTTTGATATAACTATGCCAATCTTTAAAGCAAACATTTAGTCACATTATGGACCACGCACATATTGACAGCAACATTTAAAATTTACCATTATGCTTCAATGCAAGTATCAGGGAAGAAAACATTTGATTTTTTGCAGCTATCATTAACATGTCCTATATGGTTCAGTAACAGCAATTACTTTTAATTAGCCTTCAAAAGAATAGTATAACTCACTGTAAACAGTAATGGATTTATAATGGTCAGATGATTATCATGGCTCCGAAATACAATGTCATATATATACATGTATATATATATTATTTATTGAAAACTACAATACACAAGTCCTAGATACCAAATCGTAATGATTAGGTAAAACCACTCGAAAACTAACAGATTGGAAAACATATTTAATAAAGTAGGTATAGATCAAATTCGACATATAAAATATGGATTTTATCATTTTCGTTGTGTGCCTTATCTACCTATGTACTAAAATTTAACTAGCGATACGCGTCTGCATATTGTGCACACCACACTTTGATCCCAAACACCCGTACCAGTTCCCGACAACTGATAATATCGCCAAGTAGGATATTTTTAAACGCTGAACATATGGCTTTACATTGAGAGGAATTTAAAGATTCATAAAAACAGATTAAAGTATAAAAGTACAAGAGATATCTTTGAGCTGGCATGTGCACCATTCACATCCGTTAATTTTCTTAGTGTTTCACAAGTGGGGCGAACACAGACAATAACAAACAACCTTTTACATAACTGCTATACTTGTCTGTTTTCACATTAGTCTGAATATGTACTTCGTGGAGACAAACCCGAAAACTGTAAGAGATATCGGAAAACATAAATGGCCATTTTACATGTGTTTCTTTTTCTGCGGATACAAAAGGAGGTATGTGAAATAGTGTCGATTGTGGCCTCGGATCAGAACACGCGTGGCACTGACTTCCGCCTGATTAATTCTCTATGTACCGTCTACATTCGATATGTATTGTTAAGTAATGGTCACTGTTTCCTATACAATCGAGGGGACCTGTCTGACATATATTAGGTATAGTGGACCTGCTAAATCAAACAAGACAACAAACGACTCTTAACACTGCCGGTATTTTAGATATAAGACACCTTGCTGTTGGATATCGTCGGGTCTGGTAGTGACAGGCAAAGGACAATGAGTCCTGATACCTACGCTCCCTACCGGTGTTACATTTCCCACTTTTATCTACCAATAAACATTATATGCACCACCTATGTTTTCAACACCAAAACGGAGAGAAGTTACAGCCGTACAGGATACATTAATTGTGTGAAATATTACACATCTTCAAAGAACTTTTTATTACCTCCTAAGTCCCAATACCTCTTTCAACCATATGATTGGTTTAGGTTAAAAAAAGTATTGGAAAGATAGGACACTGCAAAAAACTTTTCTATTGACGTCATGAAATAGGTTATTTATCTTTCTATCAATTTTATTTCAATGTGTCTATTCACACTAAAACCTCTCAGAAATAACGCTAGCTATTAATGAAAAACAATAGGTCGTACTCCCAACTTCAAAACGAGTAAACCTCAATATATTACGCTGAAAACTAATAGAGAATAGATAAATCATATTAATATGTATACTCCTGTTTTTATAGTTTTATTGTTACTTCGTCAATCTACATTTTCCCTCATCACATATGATGACATATTTAAATTCAAAGGTCAGAAGAACAGATCACATCAGGAACTTGTGTATTATTAGTACACAGTAGGAAAATACCACTGCATCAATACTGAAGTATCGAAAGAGTCAATTATTTCTCGGTGTACAAAGCTGTGCAAGGAACGTTCCGTCAGATGATGTCATACCGAGTACGGCACAAACACCGGGGTTGGGGTGTCAGATATACCAATGTGTATCCCAATAAAGATAGTCAGAATGTGTTATTATGTGCGCTATATAAATATATAAGTAACTGGTGCCCTTTAAAGATCAGTCACAATCGACAAGGATCTAGTTACCGGCATTGTGTCGTACAAAACGTACGTGTGACACAGGAGCAGAATAACTTATCTGGAATAATGATTGATCACTTTCCCATCAGTGGAATGATTAAGCAGAAAAAAAACAGTCGTAGAGATATTAAGAACTTTTCCAAAATAAAGGATAGATATATTATAAATGGAATTAGGGGCAAAGGTTATGAAATTATTGAAGGTTTTATGAAGGAAAAAAGTTTTGCATTCCTGCGTTCTATTTACTGTTATCTATTCATCACTGACCAACGTTCCTATCAAGTACTATGAAGTTCCGTAACACGGATATAAACTAATTTCCCGCATTAATTATTTTCGGGGAATCCTTTCATGAAATTATTTTCTTGTGCTAAATTCGACTATATTGCAACGCCTTAGTTACTACTTCTTCAAGGTTCGCCGTAAAAATCTGCTCTTTTTAAATATTTGTCATCAGTTCAATGATATTTGAAGTTTTGTTCATTTCAGTGAATTTTCCAATAATATTTTAAATGGGGCTTCACAACAGGTTGGTGCCCAAGCATAAAAAATCGATATAAATAGAATCGACATACAACTATACAATGAAAATTACATCATCAGTTATAATCGGATGTGTTTCTGGTATCATTAATATACATACGTGAGTCATATCAAAAGAACAAATTCACAAGTTTGACATGGTTTACCTTAAACGGATAACTAAACCTTAAAAACTTGATTAAGTATGTGCTTATGTAACAATTGAAAGATTTGGGTAAAGTCACTTGAATCTACAACTTGACAAGGATAAGACTTGTGTTAAAATTCAATCTTAATAAAGTCATTTTATTACCAATAATTTAAACATAGAAATGTTATAGTCGTGTGAGTAATCCAAGCATGAACTATTAGTGTTATCTGATAGAAATGATTTATATAGTTCAGTATATTCAAACACAAAACGAAGACAGATCTGCTCCCCTAAACATATCTACGTTCTAACAATGTATAGCTTTATATCTACATTTATCAGAAGTCTTCCGTTCTATCGGTACAAGGCACTTCCTATGTCGCACCTTAAATAAGCATTCCATTACAATAAAACAACCACTTAGTTATAGCAAGGGTGTTACTCCGGTATCCAGTAGTGGAAGGACAGGTGATGTAGGTCGTCTCAACTGAGATATATCCCGTTATTCATTGATTCACCGATTCAACAGTCCATCTTATAAGTGATAAATATCCTTGATTTGTTCGTACAACGTCAGATTTTAACATCAAAATTAATTCTAAAGATTGTGGTATATATGTAGAACTTACTGTTAAACGGTGAGGCTCAAACGTTTTAAAGATGAGGATTTATTAGAATGTATTGTGAAAGTGATGGCTAATATCAAATTATGTCTAAAGTCGAGGATTTCATATTCAAACTTACTTCTAAAAGTAAAGTACAAATGACATACAAGAGAATACAAAT